AGTCGGATGTCTTGGCTCAAAGGTGCAAGTATCACAACCATGATGTAAATGAGAACTTTCTGTCACAGCAGGGACTGTGTCTGATCTGACTGAGCCATTTGAATTTACTGTCCCCCTTCTTGGAGTCAGTCATGCCGACCTTGTGTGCATAGGGAATTCCCTGTGTCAGTGTCTTACATATGTGTGGTCATTCGGCCTGATTCTTCCCTTGTCTCACTCTCTCTCTCTCCTGATATATATATATATACTTATATAAATATGTAGTCATGTGTGCTGCACCAGCAAGCAAGCGGGTGGCAGGTAATGAGTGTATGTATATGTGTGTGCGCGTTTGAGTAGGTGTGCTGAATTTTAGTAATACAGTGAGATAGTATTTTGGCTACAGGACACCAGTAGCACACATATATCTTCGTGTAGTTAGTCGGCAGTCATAAACCCAAGTTCAAGGTTGTCTCCTTCGTGCCAAAGAACTGCATGGCTGTTGGGTGAACAGTCATTAACGAAGGCAGTCAGGTCGTTGTTGGGGCGACACTTGATGGTGGATGTAATGTCTTAAAACCCTTCCCCAGCTAATAGTAGGGTACTGCTGGGGTGACAGTTTATTAACCCTCACATAATGCTTCAGGTCCAAATGAACACTAGGCACTGCCACTGTTTTGAGCCAGGGCAAAAAATTTGTGCTTCTGCCAGGCTGGCCGTTGCTCCATTTGTAGACTAGAAGTATACAGTTTTGTTACCCAGCTTCTGAGTTGAGTGCATGGCGTGACACTGTGAGCTGCAGATTTCATTTGGAATGTTTTTCGACTGACCAAAGTGGTGGTGTGATTTGTAGATTCAGAAAATGGCGCGACGCCGGTTGTCGCTATATTGGTGGGGCCATTATTTGATTAAAATTGATCGCGTGTGCAACTGCTGATCTTTTGGTGACTTCTGCTACCATCAATGATGAACTGCATTTCTAACGTCAGACTGTTTGTGTTAGCACTTCGGATGGCTACCATATGCTTTTAATGCGAGTGTATGCTAGATTTGATGAGAGAGCAGTTTGTCAGTCTTACTACAAAGGACTGGGATAAACATTCTGTGTATTTTTCGTTGGCACAGGAGCGGAGCAAAGATGGGGTAATCCGTTTGCTATGAAGCTGAAATTAAAATTACCAGAAATGAGAACAATGCATTTATGTCCTTGGATGAACAAAGTTGAAGAAGAAACACTATTCTAAGCCACTGTGATATTTAATTTGGCTAATGTTAATTAAACCAAACATTTTTTACTTTGTTCTTCAGAGAAAATGTCATCATAATCACACCTTCGCCCCCCCCCTCTCCCAAAACAAAAATAAATTATTAATCATCATCAAAGAAACATATTTATGAATATACATGTGAGCATACAAAAACGGTAAAACTGACAATACCAACAGTGTTTTGCACTTCTTCAGCCCTGGGAAGTAATGTGGACAGCATCAGACCAGTTGCATTAATACTATCCAGCACTTCACCTGGTACCCATGGGAGGCTGGGTCGACCTGGGAGTCAAGGTCTCTTCTAAGTCCAACTCATCAGGACCTGAATCATTGACCTTCTGATCTGTGTCTAGCTGCTACAATATGGCGGCTCTTGTGTTTCTAAAAAGGGGTCAGTTTACAAAATGTAGTGATTGCTACTGGCTAAGTTTGCGCCTGCACAAATATTTAGTAGGACTTGGATATTACGTTAGCTCAATATAGCATTGACATGTATTTTTTCTGTGAACCAAATTGCTTTTTAAGGCCATGCTGACATCAAGTTCACTTGTAAGCCTCAATGATAGAGGTGACCAGGTCGTAGGTTACACAATACACATTGTATTTTCAGGCCCAGGAGAAGTTAGTCCATTTAATGATTCAATCTGTTCAGGTTTATTGATTCTCCCTTTAAATATCTTTTATAATTTGAAGGAAAACAATTTTTTTAAACAAAAGTTGAATGCTGAATTAAGAATTGACCCCACAGCACTCAGGACACTCCAATAAGCGCTCTGTCCATCTTTAGCGGCAGGAGTTTCAATTCCGATGGTACCAGTAACTGTCTGATTGTACATCAGTCTAGCCTTTGCCTTACGAAGGTAGATAAATGTTTAAAATGTTTATCAGTAACCTGTTTATAATATTTTTAAGAATGTTTTTTTGCCGGGAGCGTACATTCTCACAGGTTCATTACCTATTTTGTTTCGTGTTCCTGCGGTGACAGTATATTACACAAGTGGCGCATCGGGCAAATAATGCTAGACCAATCAATGGGTACTCGGTGGGTGACGTGGTCAACATCAAGCCGGTCGCCTTGACTTTCCATAACACTGCCTGGTACATAACCAGGAGTGCAAAGAGACAGATTATAAACAGCATATTCATTCAAATATTAAGCTACCAGTGCGCAAACATGGACACTATCTAAAGTCCATATACGCAAAATCACCACTTGCGAGATGAGATGCCTGAGAAAAGCCGTCAACATAACCATCCGAGATCGAGTGAATAATAACACTATCAGATAAATTGTGGGAACGACATTGTCAAGAAACAGCAGATCAAGTGGTTTGGCCATCTCGTTAGAATGCAGCAAGATCAAATACCATCACAAGCACTACATCTTAGAAGATCAGCTACAAGAGCAAGAGGACGGCCGTGGAAAATATTGATCGACAACATTAAAGACACTCTACACCTTCACAGCATGACAACAGCCAGAGTGCACTGGATCGCAAACTATTCCTTCCCACGACGCTTAGCAGCAGAAGTGGTTTATGATAATGATGATTTCTGGTACCCTGAGACATATTAACTACTGTATTTCCCTAAACACTATTTTCCCAAAATCTAGAGTATAAGAACAGTGCGCTGAATTTCCGGTCCTGAGATTAAGGTGCATATAATGTATTAACCAGTTTATAAAGCACATCTCATAATGGGTCAGTCCTTTTATTTTTTTAAACACTGCTTTTGACTTAAAAGGGAGTCGCCGTGGTTTAGCGGCTAGACACACGCCTGCAGATCGGAAGGTCGTGGTTCAGGTTCTCCAAGCTTTGAGCGGGTATCAGGAGCAGTCCCGGGAAGAAAAGGCGGACGGTGTGGTGCTGACCACATCACCCACCAAGTGCCGATTGGTCAATAAAATACCGTTATAGCCCTATATGCCTGAAGGCGTGGAAAACGGTACTTTACTTACTTTGGTACTTACCCTTAAAACTTATTGGCATGCTGTGTTGTGGTTTACAGCTAGACTGTGACATCTGTATCTGACAGCCCAACACATCTAATTTCAGCAAATCTGCATTCACAGCATGCTTGTTTTGTTAACAGGAGGTGGATTTATTCCCCCCCCCCCCCCACAGAGAATTTAAGGAAAGCTGTTTAAAGAACTGTGATATATTAACTAGTTACGAACTGCACCTTGTAAAGTAAAAAGCTTGTTTCTTTTACAGAAAGGAGATTTAGTAACTTTACAGAAATACAGCATAGTAACCTCTGAAAAAAACTCCTAATCGTTAAATCAACCTGTACCTTTCAATAATCTACGATCTACAGCGTATATCAGTTTGTGTGTTGACACCCTTCCATGACATAAGAAAAGGCTCTCAAGAATCTTCTTGTACTGTCTTGCTCTGTCTCTTTTTTGCCTACATCTTTCTAATGGTCAAACATATACTAGAAAATTACACTTCAGAACTACTGAAAACTGGGTTGGACTACAATTAGCATTTACATCTATCTCTTACCCTAAAATATGAATTGTTTCATGAAGCCGTAGTGAATGTAATTACTGAAAACATGTCTCCAATAATCACCTTGTGGCTTCCAAACCTAATTTTGGGAGGAAAACACCCTCTGCCCCTTAAAAAGTATGTCATAACATGATTTTTTTTTTTTAAGGACTTTGCTTTCAGGTCGAAAGGCACAGATATCACAGCCCAGCTGTAAACGGTAATACAGTGTGTCAACTACCATTTTAATGGCGAACATGGAAGATGCCTCACATAATGTGGAAGCTATTTTACATAGATTTATGTGCTGATCAGTAGAAATAACTTTACAATTTGACTGTCGTTGAAAAATTAACTGTTTTGTACACATAGTTGGAACCTAAATTTTGTACTCCAGTGTGAAAGCTGTTTTAAAGAAATGAAATTAGAAAACCAGTAGTTCTTCTTTTTCTTCACGTTCACTGGCTGTGAACTCCATCCGACAATTTTGGTTGTTCGTTCACTTCTGAGCTTAAGTCTTGTACCAGAGCTTAAGTCTTGTTCCAGAGCTTAAGTCTTGTTCCAGAGCTTAAGTCTTGTTCCAGAGCTTAAGTCTTGTTCCAGTACTTGAGTTTTGCATGCACATCCATTTTACAGATTTGGCTTACTTGTACAAAGACTGTTGGTTCCTCTCCTCTCACACAGATGCACTCCGACTTTAACGTTTACATATAAACAGAATCTACATTTCCTGTCCAATGTGAAAGCTGTATGTTATGTAAGTTGTACCCCACCAGGACATCACACAAAGCAATAAACATCCGGTGACACATAATGCCACCATGCAGATGCGGATCACCTGTGGAGAGGTCCCAGAAACCCAATTTAGCCGTTAGTCCATATTTATGGCAACCAGCAAAAGCTAGTGTGGAGCGAATCAAATAATGAAAAATTGCATCCCATATGGGACGACTAACATATGCTGAAAGCTGTTTTATCGTGTAAACCAGTAGTAATAACCTCAAAACATTACAGATGTTGTACACAAAATCACAATATACATTTCCTACCCCAGTGTGAAAGCTGTTTTATAGAAACGAAATGTGTAAACAAGAAGTAAGAACTCATAATGTGAAAGCCGACGAAGAAAACTGCTTTGTACATGTAATGGGAATCTACATTTCCTGCCCCAAATAAGTGTGTTTCAAGAACAGTACTGGATAATTAGTTAAAATGTCTCATATAATGTGAAAGCCAATGAAAACATTGTAGTCAAATTCTACATTTCCTGCCCCAAATGTGAAAGTTGCTTCAGAAATTGTGAAGCATTCACTAGATCACTACAGCCGTAAACAATCTTCTTGTGAGCTGTGGGCGTTGATTTACTCTTGACATAATCCATGAGGTTCTGAAACTCAATATAGTTCCCGCCACCAACTATAAATACGTATGCTTCTTGAAATGGTGTCTTACTACGAGGTACAGACGAGGGGTCTGTTCTCAACAGTTTAGGATCAAAGTACCTGTAGTCATCGACATCAGGTAGCGATTTCAGCTCCATTAATGCATCAACAATTCTTGTTGTTGGGAGGTTATGACCTTTCACCACAAGGTTCTTTACTCCTTCCATGACAAACTGTGAACCTTTTGATAAAAGGCCGGAGAACATGCTGGTAGAGCTGATACTGCCTCCGGTATACTGACTAGCTGGGGCTTGTAACTTGGTGTATGATTTCCATCGCCGAACGTACTGTATGGCTGATATATCACAGTTGGCAGCTTGAAGAGCCACACAGTACTGATCAATTTCCGCTTCCGACATTGGAGGTCCACATATCAATGCAATTATAAATAACCGCACCTTGTCTTCAGGTTTACCAGCTTCAGGATCAGAAATTATGTCCATCAGAGATTTGTTAAGAGTCGACTTATTCATCATTCTTTCTTCTGTCTCAAAGTATGTGTCGAGTTTTCGGGCTTTAATCTGCTCCAGGAGGGCTGTGGCAATGTTCATGTGCATGTCTATGAGCCGCTTCTTCTCTAACAAGTCTGGAAGTGACGTGACCGCAGATGTAAGGCGAGCTGTGTTGTCGGAAAGCATGCTTATCGCTGTATCATCCTCACCTTCAAGACCAAGTGCTGCTTTCAGCTTCTTCACCTCCCCTTCCTCTTGTCTGTAGGCATTCAGTTCTTCCTGAACGGCTTCTGCGACCTCTGGAAAAGGGTGCCCTTTCTGAGATACCCATAGCTTGTCTCGAGATGAAAGATCGTAAGTCTTTTTTCTTGTTCTTTGTTTTCTAGCAGGTGAACTAGCGTGCGGGCCTTCGTCAATCACTTCCTCTACTTCGACTCGATTTAGTTTCAGATCCAACACATCATGACTTAATGCTTGGTAAGTCCAAGTATGATGTAACATGGTAGCCAAATCAAGGTTTCGATCCAAGATAATCAGCAACGGCCTCTGAAAATTAAACTGACCGGGTACACCATCAGAAGCAAAAAGGCTGTTTCTGGCATCTCTCAGATTTTCTCGGAGCTTTTTATCCAGTTTCTCTGCTACCATCTCTGCTGCGTTGCCTCGGGGTGATCGTATGATAGGAACAACAGAAAGTGTAACAAATACCGAAAATAGACTGTCAACTATCGTGTCCATTATCCATTCCATTTCAGTATCTTTTACATCGCCCTTATTTATGGCATAATATGAAATAGCGTCTCTGTCTTGATGACGTAAGGTAAACAGTTCATTTTCCAAAGAAATGAAGTTTAAATTCTGATCAAACACTTTCGCCACTTGTTGAACCGAATTTGACTGTATGGCTGCTTGAGCAATGTCTTCTAGCTTCTGTCTGGATATGGCTGAAATAAAATTCAGGTAATACGATTCATAAAGCTGATTCTGGAAGTCTCTACATATACGTTGAACGTTATCATCCGTTGGCATTACAAAATATATTGCCGGCACGTCCGGAATGGGATCTCGATCCGAGTGAAGGCTCAGATGAAGGGTGACGCCCATATCGCGAAGTTCTTTAACTGTCAGCAAGGGAGATATAATATCCTGCCCAAATCTGTCGTAGACAAGGACCTTCCATGTGGGTTCAGCGTGTGATGCCTTGGACAATGGCTGGTTGAAATTCAGCATGCGTTTCAATGCGTTAATCTGCTTCTCTTGTAGTGATGTCGCCATTTTTGTTGGTTGTGGTGAGTGGACAACAACAGCGACACACGTGGCACTTCCGCTTATGGTTCACAGGGGGACATAATCAATCGTTGTATCGACAATCATCATCAAGTGCCTTGCCGACTGGCCCTTGGTGATCATGCCTCTGCCCACCCTTCTATGCCATGACAAAAAGCTGTGAAGAATTTCTCGTGCTGTCTCACTCGGTCTCTATTTCCACATATCTTTTCAGGGGTCACTACATGTGATAGTCTCCCTCTTCTCATAACATAACCAACAAAAAATGATGACTGTGTTTCTGATGTTAGTTGAAAGTTGTCGTCTAGCACACATCTGTTTCAAAACATCTGGGTTGCTGTTCTTAGTTGTCCAAGGAATTCTAAGGATTCTTCTGTAAAACCCACATTACTGAGACCTCGACATTATGTTCGGCTTGTTTATTAATTGTGATTTCAATATAACTGCACATAACTTTTATAAAAAAGGATTAACATTTTCTACAATAAATCAGGGTCAGCGAAGATTATAACAAGAATTCTCACATGCTATGTTAAGTCACTCTTAACGTACAGCTGTAAATGCTGGACAATTAATAAACAAGCAAAACTTCTTCTTTTTCGCCTTCACCAGTTAAAACTCAGGCGGGAAGTTCTGTTCCAGAGCTTGAGTGTTGACTTATTTGTATGCAGGTTACTGGTTTTTTGCCTTCAGGCATTCCTACGTCGAAGATAGACTCAATTAGTCGACTCTTACGACATGCTTGTTAGGGGAGACAGTGGGTCAGTTCGAGACCTAGATAGGAGACATTATAACCAGCTCCTCATGGTAACAGACAGTAAAGTTGCATTAGAGTAGTTGCCGCATCACATGGATGAGCACGAAAGCGGGTGTCCAATGTGCAGGTGACGTCAATCATAATAACTTAACAAACACTTTTTAAACTAACTGGGGATGTTTCTTCAAAATTGGAGTGAATCTGCCTGACAGGCGAGGAACCAGCAGTGTGCGTATGAATAAGCAAGATCTGTAAAAAGTATATGCACACAACACCTGAGTTCTGAAGCAAAACCAAATTCTAGAAGTGTACGAACAACTAAAACTTTCCGCCAGAGTTAACGGCAGGTTAATACTAAGAAAAAGAAGAAGAAGAAAAAGAAGAAGAAGAAGAAGAAGAGTAGGAGGAGGAGGAAGAAGAAGAGGAAAACTTTCTATTGTAGGTGATTACTATTTTAAACACTTAAAAAAAAAAAGCAGCTGATAAATTTTTACAAGATTTGTCATTAAGAGTTATGCCAGCTATCGTGGGCGATCATGTTTCCCTAGGACACCAACACGAGAGAGAATTTAATTTAAAAAAGGGGGGGGGGGGGGGGGGCGGAGGGTTAACGGCCAGGGATTAAAAGAGTTACATAGAAATGTTGACCTTGACATAGGGTGGCCAACCGGAAGTTGGCTGGAGGCGGAAGTGGTGCTCGACTGGAAGACTAGACTTCTGCTGAAAAACTTTGTTGTTTTTTTTTTGGCAGTTTCAGAATTGTCGGAATACTGTTCTCTTTGCTGTTTGATGTGGCATTTATGCGATAAATACTTGCAGCCATGAGGTAAGGCATCTAATTACTCAAGCCGAGCTTAAATGTACTCAAAATGTTGCAATGAATATTCAAAATTAAAGTACAAATTAAAATATAAGTATTACTATTATTATTAATATTATGCATAAGGTTAGCAATCCACGGGAAACTTTTTTTTTTTTGCCTCCTCACTATTTATTTTTTGTTGCTGTTTAACTGTTGGCTGTTATTTAAGGTAGCTTTTTTTCTCAGTTTGACTTTTTAAAGTTGGTTGAGACTACGAATGAGTGTATGCCGAATATTTTAAACAAATTATATTAATAAAATGGCAGCCAACTGACCAAATGTAGATACTTTAAGTCAAATTTTCAAAATGCCCTCTACACCAATAAAACCAGCACAGTTAGATAGCTGTAAACAATCTCTTTCCAATGGTACCTCATTTAGGCTTGTATGTCATTTCTGAGCTGAGATATGTAGGTTTTTGTGGAGATGAGATGTAAAAAACAGCTGCTAAAACTTGTCTCCCAGAAACAAGAAGTTTTCTCTGCACAACCAAACTGCGCAACTTTCGTTTTGGCTTTGTTTGCATTGGACAAGATGGCAGACAATGAGACTGGCTGAGCCAGCGATTGCCTGAAAAATGTCACTGTACATCTACCTAGCCACGTACCAGAAAGAAATTTTATACACAAATGTAAAATTGGACGGAGAATTCAATTATAACTAGCATTACCAGGTACAGTAACAGGTAAAGCCTAAAGCCAACCCTGAATACTTACCGCTATTTTCAATCAAACTGATGTAACAGAAAAACAGAGGACGTCCGGCTGCCGTAGACATTCGCTGTTAATCGGGTTCCTTCCCGCCGTTTTCAGCTTTTTATAGTGGGTGAAAATCACACCAACTGCAAAATTTCATGAGAGATTACGACCCATCCCGAAACCCCAGCCGACATTTGCGAAGCAAGTTTCGAACGGTTTCCATGGTAACGGAAATTGCCAAAAGACCTCCAATTGCCGAACACCGTAGTCGCTACCAAATGCCATCTCCAAATTGAACGTCATGGTAATAATCATAATGGCAATAAATAATGTACGGTTAACTGTTAACGCTGCTACTACTTTCAGCATACTTTATAATACATTAAAGAGTCATATAACGCTCGGACACAGCCAACACGATCTGTGCTGAATTTTTGGGATGCACTCATACGAAGAGTATCCCTGGATGTTGTTACCAAACAGTGCACTCTACATTTATTTGGCATTATTTGTAAGTCCGAAAATGGCAACATTCTTTGACTTTGACTTTCTGTCTCTCACAGACAGTGGTTAGTTAGTCGACAGATTGTCCTCAGAGCACATCCAACCATTCAGTCCATAAGTGATCAGATCCCCTCTTCCATAAAGCCCACCGCAGTGTGTTTCTTTCTTATTCTACTTTGTCTTCCTGTCTGGCCACACCCCTTTTAACATGCTGCTCCTGCAGTCTGGTCATGGTTGCAGATTCAGAGTCACAGTCATTTGTATTAATTACAGGACCTAGTCAGCAGAATATGGTTTAGACAAAAACTGTATTTTATAATGATCAAGTCGACAGCTAGAGTGCAGAATATGGTTTAGACAAAAACTGGCTATCATCCAAATAACGGTCCCAAATTATTGAGGCAGAAAATATACTCTAACAGGGCCTCAGTCCTGTAAATTGCGAACTTCCGCCACCAGCGAGAGTATCTCCCACGCCGCTACGCGTGGAGTGGGGCTGAACTAGATGGCTGGGACTTACGAACAAATCAAATGAAGGAAGCTACAGGAGATGCGGTAGCTGCTGCTTGTGAGTCCCAGCCATCTAGTTTAGTCCCAATCTACGCCGCGCGTAGCGGCGCGGGAGATACTCTCAGTAGTGGCTGTAGTTGCCAGAAGTCCGCAATTTACATGTGACTGAGGCCCTTTTAGGGTATATTTTCGGCCTCGATAATTTGGGACCGTTATTCAGAAGATAGCCCAAAAACTATATTTTCAAATAAACAAATTAATTAAGAGATATCATAACAAATAACAAGTCCTATCTTAAATGCGTAATAACAGATGATGGCAAATGTGAAATCAGAAAGAGGCTAGAAATGGCTAAAACTAACGTCAGTAAGATGTGACAATGCAGAGAAGAAGATCATATTTTAAAATGAGAAAGAAATATATTTTATTTTTATCCCCAGGTCTGTATGCTTGTAATGGTGAGTGTATCCAGGTAGGACCATATACTCATTAATCCACACCCACGGACTCATTATGGAAATGGCTACTTGCGGAAAGCCTGTGGCATCACCTCGGCAGCAGCAGCAGAGCACACCGATGCACTATGCCTTCCACAATCTGGCTTCAGTAGCTGCTGATGCTGCAGCCAGTGTACATGCAAGTTCCCAAGGAGCACAACTCAGCGATGCCAAAGCTAAAACTGTGCTGAAAGAAGCTGTGGATGCTGTGATCAACAGTTTTGCCAAACACACACATGGCTGTGGAAGAGGTTGGTTCTTGTTTTGTCACCGACTCCTCTCTACAGCAGGTGTCTCCTCACTTGTTTATTCATTGCTCCACAGTAAAAAAAAAAACCTCGTTTTACTCCTTTCTGTATCAGCTGTCCTCTAACTTGTTTATTGACTGCTCCAACGTTAATATGCCTAGTTTTACTCCTTTCTACATCAGGTGTCTCCTCACTTGTTTATTGATTGCTCCAAAGTTAATATACATCATTTTACTCCTTTGTGTTACCTGTGTCCATAAGAGAAGCAAAATAATAACTGTTAGCACCTTTCCATATTTCCAGGCGATAGTGTTATATATTATGTTGTTCGTCCATCACGAGTGACGAAGACTATTTTTTTCATCCAGAGTCGTAATAATCAATGATTATGAGTACGAAGGTGGCTTATTAGTCTGAAATGAGCCTGGACAGTATCTGAGCAGTGCGGACAATAGGTGGAAGCCGCATTAAGTATAGGAAACAAGTTTTTCCTTGTGAGGGAAAAGGAAAAACATGTATATGTAAGTAAGGCATAGGAATTTCAACCCATGATGATGGTGTGTTTCCAAGAGTTAAGGCCAAGGATGAAATTTCTGCTTCCCACAGAACAAAGACTGGGCAGTACTGTAGAGACCATATGCCTATTCAGTATGATCACTTTGCCTTCTCCAGGGTAGGTAACCCCAGTACCTTTGAAACAATGCATGCTGCATAAGCTTTGTGCCAGGGTATTTTGGCTTTGTGCCAGGGCATGAGTTTTGCGTGTACATCCGCTTTACTTGCTTACTTATGTGCAGTTATTTGTTCCTTGCCGTTTGGGCAAGTGTACTCCAACTTCCAGGGAAACTCCCAGTTTGTTGACTCCTACGACTGTTGGGGGAAGGCGGTAGGGGTAAGCCTGTTCTTGCTTTCCCCACAATGGGGCCCTGGAATCCACACGGGACTCTGTGTTGAAAATGAAAGACTAAAGAATAAGAACCTACATGAATGTGAAAGGAGGTGACAGGATGGTTGGCAAAAGACTGGATATCTCATGCTATAATCATCTGTCAGCGGGTCCCTTACAGAACGTCAGGGTCGTCACCGTCACGCCTGAAAGTCTCTCTTTCTCTAGCCTGATCAGCTCTGTGTGTCTGCCTCTTAGATTTCCTTTTAGACCAGCTGCCAACCAAGACTAAGCGCCTGGTCCGCCTGATCAGCTCTGTGTGTCTGCCTGTCTTAGATTCCCTCTTAGACCAGCTGCCAGCCAAGACTAAGCGCCTGGTCCGCCTGATCAGCTCTGTGTGTCTGCCTGTCTTAGATTCTCTCTTAGACTAGCTGCCAGCCAAAACTAAGTGCCTGGTCCGCCCAAAGCAGGAGCAAAGAATAGTCACACTGTAACTTGCCATGCATGTCTTGAGAGGCAAATATGGAAGTACGGCAGGGGACTATTCAGTAGAGAACTATAGCTGTAAGATCCAACCAGTCATAAGCAAGTCTACACAAAACACTTGGTCCTGTTGTCTATTTCTATTTTCTTCTTTGTTCACCGCCTGTAAGCCCTGGTGGAAAGTCCTGCTGGTTCATCCACTTTGGCTTTGTGCCAGGGTATTTTGGCTTTGTGCCAGGGCATGACGCTGTGTACATCCGCTTACTTGCTGTGTTACTTATGTGCAGTTATTTGTTCCTTGCCGTTTGGGCAAGTGTACTCCAACTTCCAGGGAAACTCCCAGTTTGTTGACTCCTACGACCTGTTGGGGGAGGCGGTGGGTCTGTTCTTGCTTTCCCCACAATGGGGCCCTGGAATCCACACGGGACTCTGTGTTGAAATGAAAGACTAAAGAATAAGAACCTACATGAATGTGAAAGGAGGTGACAGGATGGTTGGCAAAAGACTGGATATCTCATGCTATAATCATCTGTCAGCGGGTCCCTTACAGAACGTCGCTGTCGTCACGTCACGCCTGAAAGTCTCTCTTTCTCTAGCCTGATCAGCTCTGTCTGTCTGCCTCTTAGATTTCCTCTTAGACCAGCTGCCAATCAAGACTAAGCGCCTGGTCGGCCTGATCAGCTCTGTGTGTCTGCCTGTCTTAGATTCCCTCTTAGACCAGCTGCCAACCAAGACTAAACGCCTGGTCCGCCTGATCAGCTCTGTGTGTCTGCCTGTCTTAGATTCCCTCTTAGACCAGCTGCCAGCCAAAACTAAGTGCCTGGTCCGCCCAAAGCAGGAGCAAAGAATAGTCACACTGTAACTTGCCATGCATGTCTTAAGAGGCAAATATGGAAGTACGGCAGGGGACTATTCAGTAGAGAACTATAGCTGTAAGATCCAACCAGTCATAAGCAAGTCTACAAAACACTTGGTCTGTTGTCTATTTTCTTCTTCTTTGTTCACCGCCTGTAAGCCCTGGTGGAAAGTCCTGCTGGTTCATCCACTTTGGCTTTGTGCCAGGGTATTTTGGCTTTGTGCCAGGGCATGAGTTTTGCGTGTACATCCGCTTTACTTGCTTACTTATGTGCAGTTATTTGTTCCTTGCCGTTTGGGCAAGTGTACTCCAACTTCCAGGGAAACTCCCAGTTTGTTGACTCCTACGACCTGTTGGGGGAGGCGGTGGGTCTGTTCTTGCTTTCCCCACAATGGGGCCCTGGAATCCACACGGGACTCTGTGTTGAAATGAAAGACTAAAGAATAAGAACCTACATGAATGTGAAAGGAGGTGACAGGATGGTTGGCAAAAGACTGGATATCTCATGCTATAATCATCTGTCAGCGGGTCCCTTACAGAACGTCGCTGTCGTCACGTCACGCCTGAAAGTCTCTCTTTCTCTAGCCAGTTCTCCGACCCTGTGTGCATTCATAGCCAGTGGGTCTTGATGTCCTGTATCAGCATTCAAGGAGGTCTGCCTCTGTTTCATTTTCTGGATACTGTACTCTGTGGAAGGAGAATAATAAAAGAGAAGAATTTAAATTTTGTGAAACAATCTAAACTAGCCAAGACTGCTTAACTATCCCCTTATAGTAAGGATGTTGACGAAGGTGTCACATTTACAAGCTAAAAGACCCAGATTAAAGGCCGGCAATGTCGGGATCTGAACCCAAGCCCTTCTGATCCACACGTGAGCGTCTGACTGCTGCAGTACGGCGGCTGCCTTGAGTGTGTGTGTACACGCATATGTATGTGTGTAAGCAAAAGCATGTGCATAAATTTCTGCATGTGCGCATGTGTGTACATATCCACACGAGTAGCTCCCTCCCCAACAGCCCTCACTAGGTACTAGAGTACCTATCCAAGCCACTAGTTTTGGGGAATTAATATTTCCTAGCCAATATAATTGCCACGTTATGAGAATGAATCCTGATATACCTGCCAAAACAGCTCTCACATGGACACCAGAGGGAAAGAGAAAACAGGGGCGCCCAATAACAACATGGAGACGAACGATGGAAAGTGACCTGAGTGCGGCATCTTTGACATAGAAAACTGCACTGAAGATTGCACAGGACAGGAAAGCATAGAAAGTCCTCTCTGAAGCCTCATGTGCCACTAGGTACAACGAGAACTGATGATGATGATGAATATAATTGGCACAAAGAAACCAGACTACAATTATAACCGATACTGCTCGCAGTAGGTTGAACGTGGTTGATTTTTGTTTTGTTTTACATAAATGGATGAATAAAAGGATCCATCACTGATCTCTCCAGTTGTGGGTTCCTGGGCTCTATTATAGGGAAAACAAGAATAGACCCACTACCTACCCAAAAGCATGTTGTTAGAGTCGACTAATTGGGAGTTTTCTTTTAAGTGGGAGTGCATCAGCCTGAGAGACAAGGAACCAACAGTCTGCATACAAATGAGTCAGATCTGTAAAACGAATGCACACGCAACACGCAGGTTCTGGAACAGGACTGCAGTCCAAAAGGGGATACACAACCAAAACTGTCCACCAGAGTTTGCGCTGGTGAACGTGAAGAAGAAGTTCTCTCCAGTTATATTTAACACGGCTAAAATGTGTCAGCTTTTGGGACATGACGCTGTTTATGAGCTAATTCTTCTCAGTGCTCAGATCCTGTAAGATGTTGGTGTTTTTATTCTTTCATGGTATTCTAAGAAAAAAAACACCATAGAAAACTATTAAAAGCAACTGCAGCAAAAAAATACCATGGATAGATGACTATCTCTGACCTGGGATCTCTCTGCTGCACGTAGAAGCAAGCCTGCGGCACATGTTCTGTATTTGTTGTGACTGTCCACTTGGACAAAGTTCTGGATCTTCAGTCTTGAATTTGTTATACACATGGCTGCAGAGTCTGTTGTGTCCAGTATACAATCTAAATATGATGGCCTGTTTTTTTGTGAGGAGGTTGATTAAAAGGTAGAAAAAGGGAGGAGGATGAAAGTGAAGAAAAACAAAACATTGTCACTGATATACTTGTTTCTTGCCAGTAAACGTTGTGGAAGCCTTGCAAGAATTTTGGCAAATGAAGCTGGAGAGGGGTTCGGATCTGACCAACGGAGCGCTGGTGGTCTATGAATCACAGCCAGCTACTGCACCACCATATGTTTGTTATGTCAGCTTGCCCGGTGGCAGTTGTTTTGGTAGTTTCCAGGTAAGTCGTGAGTTTCCAGATCATTTGTGTGTGTGTGTGTCTAAGTGCATGATTGTTTGCTGTAGTTTGTGATTGTTAATTTGGTTTTACAACTCAAGAGGATGCCCCATAAGTTCCTTTTGTGGACACTTATCTGACATCTTGTAGGGTAGTCGAAGAAGGGTATGGCAAAGAAGAACATAGAACAACAACATCAAGAAATAAGGAGGACTAAGATATACACTTATTCAACAGGCAGAAGACAGAGAAAGGTACAAGGTTTTATATGCTAGTGCTTTCATCCGTACACCTCTACGGCCCTAATGGGTCAAGGGTTATGTTTTTTGATGTTATCTGACATCTTGTATAATTTGCCACAGCGAGCCACACTGAAATGTTACAAGGGTAAAGAGCAAGTGAAAGACCTCAAAAAATATGGAGTGATGGCATCATCATGTAAGAACAGCCTTTCAGAAATGAACATCAGTCTTAATAGTGCTCTTGACAGAGCTCATCAACAAATGTTACATCCCACCCCAACACTTTGAAGAGGTACAAGGTGGAAGAGAAGAAGAGGAAGAAGATAATAATATGCAGAAGGAGTTTGTCAGCTGGGGACATCACTCTGTCTAAAGAAGCTCATCCTAACAGAAAAGTATGCCAAGTGGGAGATGCAAGACAGAAAGGTGCCAATAGTCCAAAAAGGTGTCACAGCTAAACCTGAAAACCAGGCCACCATGGAGTTCCCTCCTGTAATGCCACTGTCTGATACAATTCATGAAATTCAAGATTGTAGAATCAGAACTTTGCCCCTGTAGATAGGCACCACAAAATACTGAACATATGCTACAGATATGCTCTCTACATTCTGTAGAAAGATCAAGTGTCTGGCCAGTTGGCATTCCACTGAAAACCAGGCGTGTGGAATAGTCAGACTTCGAAGCAGCCTGTGGCCTTCTCTCAAAACTATTGCAGGAAAACCAAAAAAAGAAGATTATATTATTAACAATAATAATATAGATTTTAATATCATTTGTCTAGATTTGATACTGGTTGTGTACATTTCAATACTATATCTGGCAAAGAGAAGGCCAACCAGAGAGAGGGGAGTGGAGGTGGGTGATATCTGTAGCAATGAACCTCAAGGGCTCTGAACACTGAAGAAGAAGAAAAAGAAGATGAATCTGACAAAGATTGTTGATCTGACCTCATGGAGCTACATTGCGAAAGAAGCTGCGGGGGATGGGGTTGACCTAGGAAGCAACATCCTGTTTGCGACTCAGATGGGGCTGAATGTTTAGCATGGCTGATGTCGAACACCAAAGAACTTTTATGGGCTAAAAACATGGGTGATCTGGATAAAGATTTCATTCACATCACAGCATTCAGGATGAGCCCATATTGGCTCTGTCTCCCTTCTCAGCAGCCAGCAAAGAGTTTCTGTACTGATGGTACCCGTTGTCATCTGGTTAACTACTTGTCTTGCCTTTCTCCCCAAGTCTCAAAAAGGAAAACAGTACTAGGAGAAAGGCATGGGGTGAGCAGCAGGAGACAAAAACTGCTTAGTTTGAGTTAGTTGAGGGCCTGTACTCCAATTAGGGATAATGGGCAAAATAAGTACAACCCCACAGCTGGAGGAAGAAGAAGAAAACAGAGGAAGAAGAAGACAGAAAACAAATTGAATTTGAAAAGCAAAGTTGAGAGATTGTAGAATAATTAGATGGAATAATGGGCAGAATAAGAAAGAAAAACAAACCCACAGCTGGAGGAAGAAGAAGAAGGAAAACAGAGAGAAGAAGAAGAAAAGCAAAGAGGAACGAAGAGAAAGAAAACAGGAAGAAAAAAGAAAACTCTCCTTGAAGAAGAAAGCAAAGAGGAAGAAAAAGAAGAAGAAAACAAAGAGGAAGAAGAAGAAAACAAAGAGGAAGAAAAAGAAGAAAACAAAGAGGAAGAAGAAGAAAGCAAAGAGGAAGAAGAAAACAAAGAGGAAGAAGAAGAAAGCAAAGAGGAAAAAAAGAAGAAAACAAAGAGAAGAAGAAAACAAAGAGGAAGAAAAAGAAGAAAACAAAGAGGAAGAAGAAGAAAACAAAGAGGAAGAAGAAGAAAACGAAGAGGAAGAAGAAGAAAGCAAAGAGGAAGAAGAAGAAAACAAAGAGGATGAAGAAAAAATACAAGCATCAAAGATTATTTACAAGTGTAAATGCAATGGAAATTTAGGTTTTGCAGAAGTTGAACAATAACATTGTGATAGGAAAAATATTTAGTAATGTATTAAATAGAAATCATTGACTTGTTTATGTAGACTCACCTGTAATTTTGCACCAGGTGGTCAACACAAAGGCTGAAGCCCGACGTAGTGCAGCAAAAATTGCCCTTATGAATTCCGTATTCAATGAGCACCCATCAAGAAAAATAACAGACGAGTTTATTGAGAAAGCAATACTTGATGCCTTAAATAGTTTTCAGGTGAGGAAGATGCAATAATGTTTTTTTATGTGTTTCATTTATGTGATAATTATTTTTTTAAACATTGTGTACATACACTTATGTTTTTCTAGTCTGGTTTTTTGTTAAACATATAATATGAGAAAGGGATACTTTTTTAACCTGGGTTAATTTTTTTGAGAAGTCACGAAACTGGCAAACTCTGGCTAGAATGGGTTGACAGCATCCAGAAGTCCCACCTCAAGAAACTGTCTTGACTGAAAACACTAGATATGCCAGGGTTGGATGGAAATAAAGAGCTGACGGACTGGCTGTGTCTGCAGTAGATAGTGAAGGAAGAGGTATGGATGGGACAGACAAAGGAGTCAGAGACAACGAACCACCTGTTGGAAATAGGTATGAGATGAGGACAAGAATGCAGAAGCCAGTTGTCATGTAGAGAAAGAAGATATGCCAGTAAAGTTCCTACTAGGTATGGTGATCATTGAGACAAAGATGACTGCTGCAATCGAGGACAGAGCCCCTAAGGTTCTTACTTATTGAGTCGCTCTTCTTCTACCTTGGGGTGTAGAGGTTTACCAGACAGGTTGCCAGGCTTCTCTGCCAGCAGTTTTTCTCTCTGGCTTTGTTCCATTCCAGTCCTCTGTCAGGGACTGACAGAAATTGTCTTCCCAGCCTCCATTCCTTTCTGGGATTGGCCTTCTCTTTATGGTTGGTGACTCCAAGTTTGTGGGTCTGCCCGTGAACTGTCAGCACCATTATCTTCATGGTCTGCTGCCATTCAGCTCTTTTGTGTACACCAGTGATTCCCAAACTGTGCGCTGCGGCAAAATATACAAAGATACACAAGTTTTATTTGTTTTGATCTCTTTCATATGAATAGTCATACTTTTACTTAGGTTGCCGTGGACAAATTTTAATTTTAAAAAAGCGAACACGAGTAAGAAAAGGTTAGGGAACACTGGTGTACAGTTTTTGTTGCACTCGAGAACTGAGTGATGCGACCGTGAAATAAACCTACAACCTTCAGAGTGCAAAGTAGATGGCTTGACCGCTTTGCCACGGAAACACCTTGTCCAGTAAATAAATCATTTTCCCACCTTTGGCAGGGATAATTGTTGTTTCATACCGAATTGTTTTTATTTTTTTTATTTTATTTTGGCTCGTTTGGACTCGATGGGTTACATGATCAATCCCACACCAGCTGCCTTTCCTTTCCAAGACATTGCCTGGTACCATTTTCGGCTGGGTCAGCCTAGGAGCCAAGAAAAATCCCAGTTCGGATTTCAGGACTCGATTTTTTAGAACAAAAAATAGATTCACTGCCCACTAAAAAATGTTGAAGTAATCGACTAATTAGGGAACTTTTTATCTGGACTTTCAGAGTTCAATCTCCAGTAGTGCAAGGACTTTTTATCTGGCCAGATGAAATCTAGAGATGGCCTAGTTTCATAGAATGACCGCTGCAGATTTATATAATATGGATGCCATTAAGTGTGGATATCTTCTTCTTCTACTATTACTACTACTACTTCTTCTTCTTTTTCTTTTTTTCTTCTTCTTCTTCTTCTTGTTCTTCTTCTTCTTCACAGTTGGTGTGCATCTACCTGAAAGGCAAGGAACCAACAGTTTGTACAGAAATAAGTCAGATATGTAAAATGGATATGTGTGCAAAACTTAAGTTTTGGATCAAGATCAAATTCTAGGGGTTGATGAACAACTTTAACTTTCTGCCAGAGTTTACAGCTGGTGAACGTGAATAAAAAGAATTGTGAACAATCTGTATCATTGCAGACTGGAACCCTACAACTTCAGACAGACAGATGAGCTTCTAGCTACTATGCTGTGCAGCTGCCTTATGTGGTAATGTTCTTTCTAATCTCTCTTCTGGCAGGGTTCCTCCTGTGATGCAAATGTTCTTTCTAATCTCTCTTCTGGCAGGGTTCCTCCAGTGATGCAAATGTTCTTTCTAATCTCTCTTCTGGCAGGGTTCCTCCTGTGATGCAAATGTTCTTTCTAATCTCTCTTCTGGCAGGGTTCCTCCTGTGATGCAAATGTTCTTTTTAATCTCTCTTCTGGCAGGGTTCCTCCTGTGATGCAAATGTTCTTTCTAATCTCTCTTCTGGCAGGGTTCCTCCTGTGATGCAAATGTTCTTTCTAATCTCTCTTCTGGCAGGGTTCCTCCTGTGATGCAAATGTTCTTTCTAATCTCTCTTCTGGCAGGGTTCCTCCTGTGATGCAAATGTTCTTTCTAATCTCTCTTCTGGCAGGGTTCCTCCTGTGATGCAAATGTTCTTTCTAATCTCTCTTCTGGCAGGGTTCCTCCTGTGATGCAAATGTTCTTTCTAATCTCTCTTCTGGCAGGGTTCCTCCTGTGATGCAAATGTTCTTTCTAATCTCTCTTCTGGCAGGGTTCCTCCTGTGATGCAAATGTTCTTTCTAATCTCTCTTCTGGCAGGGTTCCTCCTGTGATGCAAATGTTCTTTCTAATCTCTCTTCTGGCAGGGTTCCTCCTGTGATGCAAATGTTCTTTCTAATCTCTCTTCTGGCAGGGTTCCTCCTGTGATGCAAATGTTCTTTCTAATCTCTCTTCTGGCAGGGTTCCTCCTGTGATGCAAATGTTCTTTCTAATCTCTCTTCTGGCAGGGTTCCTCCTGTGATGCAAATGTTCTTTCTAATCTCTCTTCTGGCAGGGTTCCTCCTGTGATGCAAATGTTCTTTCTAATCTCTCTTCTGGCAGGGTTCCTCCTGTGATGCAAATGTTCTATCTAATCTCTCTTCTGGCAGGGTTCCTCCTGTGATGCAAATGTTCTATCTAATCTCTCTTCTGGCAGGGTTCCTCTTGTGATGCAAATGTTCTTTCTAATCTCTCTTCTGGCAGGGTTCCTCCTGTGATGCAAATGTTCTATCTAATCTCTCTTCTGGCAGGGTTCCTCCTGTGATGCAAATGTTCTTTCTTATCTCTCTTCTGGCAGGGTTCCTCCTGTGATGCAAATGTTCTTTCTTATCTCTCTTCTGGCAGGGTTCCTCCTCTGATGCAAATGTTCTTTCTTATCTCTCTTCTGGCAGGGTTCCTCCTCTGATGCAAATGTTCTTTCTTATCTCTCTTCTGGCAGGGTTCCTCCTCTGATGCAAATGTTCTTTCTTATCTCTCTTCTGGCAGGGTTCCTCCTGTGATGCAAATGTTCTTTCTAATCTCTCTTCTGGCAGGGTTCCTCCTGTGATGCAAATGTTCTTTCTAATCTCTCTTCTGGCAGGGTTCCTCCTGTGATGCAAATGTTCTTTCTAATCTCTCTTCTGGCAGGGTTCCTCCTCTGATGCAAATGTTCTTTCTTATCTCTCTTCTGGCAGGGTTCCTCCTCTGATGCAGACAACCCTAGCACTGGCATTGGTGCCTTCAAGTTCATGCTGGAAGCCAACAGGGGTCGCTCCATGCTGGAGTTTCAAGAACTCATGACCGTATTCCAGCTCCTGCACTGGAACGGCAGTCTTAAAGCTATGAGAGAGCGCAACTGTTCCCGACAGGAGGTCCTGGCACATTATTCCCACCGTGCTCTCGATGATGATATGCGGTCACAGATGGCTCTTGATTGGATTGCCCGAGAACAGGAATCCCCTGACATCATCGCCTCGGAATTGGAAGTAGCAGAGCGGGATCTTGAAGCGGCAAGACTGGCAGGGAGAGAGCTGCGGTTCTACAAGGAGAAAAGGGATATTCTTGTGTTAGCTCTCAGCCAGATTAACCCCAGTGATGAAACAATAGCTTAACTCATTCTGTGCCAGGAAACTCTTCATGCGTGAAGCAGTGTCATTATCATACAACCATTTTGTTTTCCACTTTGTGGAAATGGATCAGTTTGAATTTGTAACAATTGTTTGAAAAAAGAAAAAAAAAGGAAAATGGTAATTGTGCAATCATATTTTGAACGATTATAGCAGTTAATTAATGTAATTTTTCACTGCAAAGCATATTTTTTTTTAACATACTAAAACATTGGTAAAGTTATGTAAGTTTAAACTGCGCAAGCATTTTGTGAACATACTAAAACTTTTTTAAAGTTATGAAAGTTTAAACTGCACAAGCATTTTGTGAACATACTAAAACTTTTTTAAAGTTATGAAAGTTTAAACTGCGCAAGCATTTTGGGAACATACTAAAACTTTTATAAAATTATGAAAGTTTAAACTGAACAAAGATTTTTTAAGTTAAGTTTATTTATAAAGTTACGACTTCCAGTCCAGTATGACGAATATCTGGCCGCTGTTCTTAGAGAAATTCTTTGTTTTTAGCCTCAGTTTGCTGTTGCAATGTTCCCATTTCTAGACTGTGAGTACAAAGGTTTTGTCGCCCAGCTACTGAGTTGAGTGCTTGGTACAACACTCTGAGCTGTGGATTTCATGTGGAGTGGGAGTGGATTTTTTTTTTGCTGCACCTGCAGCAGCTGTGCCTTGTGAACTGCACTAAAAACTATTGTGGCTGATTACATTTGGAATGGTATGTATTTATGCAGTATTGCATGTACCGGCTTTTGTGACTGGCTGCTTGAATCAGCGGTGAGCTGCAATTGTGGTGGAAGACTGTTAAGTGTGGCACATTTGACTGCTGCCCTATGCATTTACTTTTTACTTGTGCAAGCTTCAAGATATAGCTGGCACTGATATGTTTCTCACTAGTTTTAAAGTGGGCCGGTGAAGGACATGTTGTCTATATCCCCCGACACAGGAACAAAGCAAGTATGGGGGTGGCCTGTCTGCGGTAAAGTTTAAACCATATCTGGAAAGTTATAACAGTTTAACTGCACAAGAATTCTGTGAACTAGGGTTTATGCATATATAGTTATTCTTAATCTGCACAAGGATTTTGTGAACTAAGGTTTATGCATATATAGTTATCTTTAAACTGTACAAGGATTTTGTGAACTAATGTTTATGCGTATATGCTATCCTTAAACTGCACAACAATTTTGTGAACTAAGGTTTATGCATATGTAGTTATCTTTAAACTGTACAAGAAAATGTAAACACCATACATAGGTTGAGTCAGAGGTCATATCATATACTACTGTTTAAAAAAAAAAGCTGCATAGCTATCCGATGGTGCTTTCCTGTTCAAAAGAATAAATGCATTGTTATCCAATAGTGTGTTTTTATTAGTTTACAGGACAGCCCATATGCCTATCGATGACCCAGATGCAAAAATAAAAAAGTGTCAGTTGATTGGTTAAATCCAAGGGTTATGTGCATTAAATTATATTTCAAAATTATGAACAAATTTTGCTCTTTTTGGCAGTTCGTTTTTTTTTTTTTTTTTTTTACAGCAAAGCACCATCAGATAACTATGCATTTTATTTGTTTTAAAATCATATATATATATATACATTTATATGTATGTTTACATCAGTGATCAGTCGCTTGTAAAGCTGTTAAGGAGATCAGATCACCCATAGCCCTATCCAGAGTTGTGTGTTGCCCTGACTAATCACTTCAGATGGTAACATCTGGTTGTGGTTCACCCTATGTGTCCTTTTATTGTTCTGTCCATGGGCCATCTGTTGCCTTCTCTGATAATTTTTTCTTTGTACATTTTATAGTTGCCTTACTTGTCGATAAATTCTGCCTTAATACAGCTTGTTGAAATCTCTTCTGATTACTTAACTTGTATATAATCTATGAGAATCTGTTAACCATATTACTGAATCTTTTAATATGTTTGAAATTAACTTGTACATATGATTTATGACATTATGAATGATTTATAACATTATATGGTTTTATGACATTATGGATGATTTATAATATTCTGTGTTTTATGATATTATGCTTTATGTAATTTCTGTGAGAAATATAACACACACACACACACCACACAAGTTGCGTATCCTTTACAGGACATTGCAAAACCAGCCCCAGCATTTTTTGGCTGTTGTGGTTTTACTAAGCAAATTTTACATTGAGTAGTTTGCCATTGCTTTCTTAAAGGTCAGCACTCGGTACCACTGCCGAAACCATCGCAAGACAAACCCTCTGCAGCTGGGATCTAATCCGGCATTACGAAGCACGTTTGCAACGCCTAAGCCACAGACGCTGACATACACACACACACACAAAAGAAAGAAAGATGGCACTGTATTGAGCATGACCTGACAAGGAGGAGGAAGAGAATCTCCAAACAGGCATTGGAATGGATGTTCAGAAAATCTCTCAGATGAGTGTTGATGAGAAAGGTGACAGGTACTAGTTCGAATTTCAATCCATGATACTGGCCAGCTGTTTGCTGCAGAATCAGAAGTTCCACAAATGATTTATGAAAATTACCGCCTAAGTGATGTGATTATATATACAGATGGCTCAGTGTTGAGGGGCAGATGAAGTGCATGGGGGTTCATTACAAAGGCAAATGGACGTCGCCGGTGCAACAAAGCCTGGCAAATGATATCACATCTAGTTTAAGAATAGAGGTGGAGGCAGTCACTGATGCCTTCCGCTGACTTGAAAATCAGCTGTACACACATGCCGTCATTGTAACTGACTCACAGAGTATGTGGAGAAAGGCATGCTCCGTGCAGAGTGGCAAGCATCACTTCAAAGATCCTGGGTAGATAGCATCCTTTGGATATTTTCTTCAGGGTATGCCGGTGTGTTGGCAAATTAGCAGGCAGATAAACTGGCCGGTTCTGCACCACTTGATGGTAAACTGATGTATGACAAGCTGGATGTTGTGAGGGCTCTTTGGGAGCCAGTGAACAGTGCCGAGGCAAAGATAGATCATTGCGGTCTGAGGAGAATGGCATTGCGGGGAGTTACAAGGGGGTTTGGCCGACGCTCTACACTCAGAGGAAAGGCAAGACGGATATACAATCAGACAGTTACTGGTACCATCGGAATTTTAACTCTTCTTGCTGCTAAAGATAGTGACGAAGCGCTAATGGGAGTGTCCCGAGTGCTGTGATGTCGATTCTTAATTTAAAATTCAACATTCAATCCATAATATCAAAAGGATTGCACAGAATGGAGCAGGTGATTGTGAACCTGTGTTCATTATTCATTTTAAAGATCATCTTCATCGCACATGACCATAAGTGTGCTGATTTCCCCCTGAGTGTGTCTACAAGTATTTTTAGGCTAACAACTCCCATTCTGTAAAACTCTTACACAGGATGATCTCAGCGCAATGCACGTAGTTCCGTAGCATCGGCGAGGATCCTGCAGACAGAAAATCACTTCATATTAGTTTTTAAAAAAACAACAGAATCACTTTGTTGTGGTAAACCACAGGGGCCACACCGCCATCTAGCGTGATGTTCTTGTTGCTATGTGGCTTATGGCACAACCGGATGATGATGATGACCAGGTTGGTTTGGTTGAAATGAAAATCCGTGAAAGACTTGGGTTATAACCAGGGCCATATTTAGGATAAATACTATGGTGCTTCTTGTGTGTTTGCCTGTAAAAGGGTGGATAGTAAGCTGCATTATGGTTTACAGCTAGGCTGTGATATCTATGCATTTTATCCTAACACATCTGTTCTCAGCAAACCCTTAGTTAGTTTAGTTGCCGTGTACCCATGCCACGTTGGTACAGAAACGGCTGCCATTGTTTGTTTGTTTGTTTTAGTATCCAGAAGCCATGAGTTGTTAACCCTTAGGCTCGGTATTATGGATATCGCAACCTTTCGGCCTTGATGCCATTGTAAATATAATAAATCTGGAAGAAATGTGGCTTTTCTGCCTATTCCCGGAAGTGAACCCAGACCACAAGGAGTTCCTCACCCGGTCACCGCGCAATCTGGTTTAGCAACTACGCTAGAAAGCCGGGCACGGCTGCCATTATTTTCCTAATAATCCTATTTGTAGGATTTATGATGTTTGTGTCACTATACACTTTCTTTATATACTTTCTTTCTGGTGTTTCTGATAAGTTGTCTTCAAGCCATCACTTATTTCAAAATATTTGGGTTGCTCTTTTTTTAAGCCACCCAAGGAATTCTAAGGCTTCTTCTGCGAGCCTAGGACCAGAGCGTCCGGTGGCAGCTCTGCATTTGTGGAAGCCTCCTTGGATGGTGGAATGCCCATGATCTGCCTCTGAGTTCCCTTGAAGGCCAACCTTACACGCAAATGCCTTGGATGGGGTTTGCATGGGCACCACCTGTAGATAAGTGGACAAAGAGAACACTACACAAATAAGGCCACAACATGTCCCTGTCTCGGGAAACTATCCAGGAAGTTAGCCCAGTCAGAAAATGCTTGATGAAGTCAGATGTGTTGGCGAAAGGCGTAAATATCGCAGCTCTGCTTTAAATGGGCTAAACGCCTTTATGTCACTCAGACGAACGAAAAGAAGATGGATGCTTTCTTCCCATGTATAAATATATGTGTGTGTGTATGTTTATTAAAGTGCATCATGTATTCTTAGCTAAGTACTGTAGATCCAGCCAGAAAGTAACTAAATTCCTAGACTGCAGCTGTTAAATTGTTGAACAGTCATTCGCATTTGTGGCTGCTGTTTGGTATACATGTTAATCTCCCCCACACCCCGCCCATATATACTCACTAGGTCACTTCTGACTGGTAGTTCCTGAACCTGTCACAAGGTTACAGGGGTGTTCCGCGGTGCCGTTGATATCGCCTGTGCTTTTAACGTTTCAAAAACATGGAGCAACTGGCCCTAACACCCCCCTCCTATGAGAGTGATGCAACCTATGTCACAGGCATTCTCTTTCTCCGAATAAAAACGTAAATGCAGGACAGCACAGAAAGCCAATAATAGACCGGGACACACCCCTAGCCTTCAGGAAAGTCGACCAGCATAACAAATTAGTGAATGAAAATTGACCTACTCTATTTGGGGAGATTAACGTTACTTTAACCTTGCTGTTATATTGTTGAACAATCATTCACACTTATGGCTGCTGTTGTATTTTTGCAGTCAGTCATTCATCCTCTTATAATGAATTGTTATTTGTGAACATGCATTGCTACACAGTCAGATGCAAGTAAATCCACAAGTGCTGTAAAAGTCTCCTTGCCTTTAGTGTAACTATAGAAATGTGAGGACAAGTGCTCACTGAGTCGCTTGTTGCCCCCACATTTACATAGAACTTTGTTGTTTTTTGAGAGTCAGTAAACTATTTCGGCAGTGTTTTCTGGACAACATAATTGACTAAACTGTATATGTAATATCATTTTACAAACAACACTATGAACTAAACATTACATGTAATGTTAAATTTTGCCGATAACATGATCAACTAAACTTAACATGTAAGTTCACATTTTACAGACATGATCAGCTAAAATTTACATGAATAAATAGAGGGGAAACCCTTTAGGCTGTAGAAATAGTATATCTAAAATAAACAGACTCTGTATTGATGAGCACTCATGGAAAGAAGATAGAAAGATAAAAGGACACACTAGACAACATAACAGCCAAAAGCTGTAGTTACAGTGCCGGGAATAGAACCTGTCACCTCCAGATGGTATGTGCGCCTAGCTATGGAAACACGTGTACTAAGAACATGACCAACCAGTCACCCTAAAAAAGCTATCTTCATTGGCCTTTATCGTACAGCCTGATGGATTACGGACAGAATTAATCTCAAACGACTGAAATGGCACCACAGGTTACAGAAATGTATATTAACCAAGCGTAGATCGAATAACCAACACAAACAACAATTACAAAGATGTAGATCGAATAACCAACACAAACAACAAATACAAAGATATCGGACCGTAATACTGTGTGTAGAATACAACAAACATTTATTAAAGAGATCTGATTGGCCAGTTCCATTGTGTTACACATATTTCACAGAAATAAACACAGGGAGAACCCTGTAGTCCGTAGAAATATTTATATGTATATATAATAAACAGACAATGTATTCATCGGCAGTCATAGAAAGAAGTAGAGAAATATGAGGACAGACTAGATAACATAAAAATCAATCAAAAACTATATTTACTGTGCCGGAAATTAAAATGACATTAATTACATGTAATGTCACATTTTACTAACAACACGATCAACTAAACTTTACATGTAATGTCACATTTTACAGACAACAGTCAACCAAACTTTACACGTAATGTCACAATTTACCGACAATCAACTCAACTTTACATGCAATGTCACATTTTACAGACATCACATCTGACACACATTTAGGATGGCTGAGCAACGAGAGGGCTTCAAAGGATAACCTGAAAATTTTGATAGAAATTACCAAGCCACTGTCTTGTAGCCAGTCAGTTTTGTTGTTAAGGATGTAAAGTGTGTTTAGCACATGACATCACGGTGTAGATGGAAATAGCAATGTCTCACGAGTTTTTATGACATCCGCCCAACTTTTGACATGCACCCCAAAGAGGATATTGTTCTTTTAAAAATCAGTAAAGAGGTGAAACCTATAGAAATATATTGGGGAATGAAGGTCCAGAATGGTAATGGATGCTTGTTAGTTCAGCAAGTGGGGGTAGGAAGTTTTACAACGCATGACTTCTGTGACTGACCGTTCAAGATTGGGTGAGGCACACCGGCTAGTGACCCCAGAGTCGACTGCAGCCACTGAAGGCCTTGTACAAAAACACTATTGCACTTTGAAGTTTTCATTTGAAGCCCCCTCGCTGAAGGTCTTTTTATGTAGAATTTAAACCCAAAACCTTCAGGATTACTGTTCAAGTTATATGTATATCTATGGCTGTGTATATTTATATATAAAACAGTTAAGTCCACAAGTATGCAGCTTATCTTTATTATCTTTATTTCTGTGTTCAGATGTCAGTGGTCAGAGATGAGAGCCAAGACTTATTTTAATAATGTCACTGGCACCATGCCGTAGTCACCCAAGTACCATTTTCATAGCCTTTACTTGTCATTTTACAATTTTCCAAAAGTGCACAGGTGATGATGTCCTATTCCAGAAGGGGAAGGCTGGGATTTTGTCATGTGGTCTATTAATTTTTCCCTGGTCTCTGGGTAGTAAGATCAGACGCTTGTGTGTATTGTTGCGCACGTTAAAAAAATCCCAGTCGAAAATCAAAAAGAGTAGCCTAACGCCACTGCCCGTGCAAAATTTGGTCTTAAAAATCTACATAAAGTATTTTCAGGATCCTTGCCGGTGCTACGGAGTTCGTGCACAGCGCTGAGATTCTTCTGACTCATACTTGAGTTAGAAGTAGAGCAGAGCACTTATGGGTTACTACCTGTGTGCCATGATGTCGATCCGTTGTTTAAACCTAAGAAGGTATTACTTGTAACAGATCGGCACAATTTTCAAGTGGCACTTTCCCAAAAGTAATTAGCCTTGTGAATTTTCTAACTTTCCCCAAGTGCTCTTCAAATTTGGAGTTTAAAATCTACACAAAGTATTTCGGGATCCTCGCCTGTGCTTCAGAGCCTTTGCACTGTGCTGAGCTTCTTCAGAGACTTGAGTTAGAAGAAGAATGGAGCACTTATGGGTTTCTACCCTTGTGCCATGATGTTGATCCGTTGTTCAAACCTTCAATTTTTTTTTCTTAGAAAAGACCAAGATATCATCTAAATAAACTAACTTTATGTGAAGCACCATATCGTGCACTTTAAGACTGCCAAGTTTTACAATTCAAACAGGATTTTCTCAAAACAAGTATGCATTTAGGTGACTCGCACTGTGTCATTTATATGATGTTCACATATCACTGGTCAAGAGAAGCGAACAAGTTATTTCAGAACATTTTAATATCAGGATACAACTTTTATTCAACACAAACAATCTAGGCATTTTTGTTGATGCAGAAAGCAAACATTTATTTTCAAATAAAATTGCTAAACATGCTCTCAGTCACAGAGGGTTTAGCATCAGAGGCCTAAAAGATAGTAAACAGACATAAAAACTGGCACATTGTGTGTTTACTGGGCTTCTATGCAGGAATTTGTGAACGTATGATGCATCCCTTGGGACTGAACGGCTTAAACAGAAATTATATTTAGAACAAAGGGGTCAGAAACCCTCTTCACAACATCATGCACACTGTGTTCAAGTTAGTTAGTCGACAGAATATCCTCACTGCACATCAAACCATTCAGTCCATAAGTGCTAGGATCCCCTCTTTAGTAAATCCTGCAGTGTTTCACAACACTAGTTCTGTGTTGGTTTCTTATTCCTATTTGGCTTCCTGCGTAGTGCTATTGTCTGGCCATACCCCTTTTAACATGTTGTTCTTGCAGTCTGGTCATAGTTGCAGATTCAGACATCACTTGGTTCTTGCAAACGTCTTACTTTTCGTAGAGTATTCAGAATATCAGCCTGGTCCATGGCTCGTCCGTCTTCCACAGTAGCTTTACCTGCAAGCCTACCAGATTGCTCATTTCCTTGCACTCCTGCGTGCCCTGGCACAAATATGAAGCTGAAATGTGTCAGCCACTGTGTTTGGATCCAAGCCCTTTAAAAAAAATCTTTCTGCGCATACTCACGGATTCACTGAGAAAGCATGCATGGGAAAATATCTTGTGTCTCCAGCACATTGTGTTCAGTGAACTAAGTTTACAACAGACATTCACTGCACTCAGTAAATCCCTTAGGTGTCCACATTCAGCTGCAGGATCATTTGAACAATACACATAATATGCATATGGTGCTGAACTAACATGTGTGAAAGAGTAATTGACATTGATGGGTCAACCTCCTGCCACCAGACTTTATTTAGTGCATACAAATCTAGCCTTGGATAAAACAAGTTTAGAAGAGGTCAGTGAAGACCAACTTAGCCACCATCAAAAACACTTGTTCCAATCTCTATGAAGAAATCTGTACAGGGCATATAGAAATTTGGACTGCATGATAGCTTCTCTAAAGGCTACCGGGCATCCTGATGCAAGTTTTCTGACAGAGGGATCGAAGAAAAAAAGAGACAGCACGAAGAAGACCCCCCCCCCCTCCAATCTGCTGACATCATTAGAGGAGAGGAGAAACCAAGGTGTATAACCAACTGGCACAGCACATAAAAGAAAGAGCGCAAGAAGAATCTTAGTTTCTCTCACAAACAACCTCACCCCCAACGTTTACCCAAACACTTAGCTAGGATAACTGGAGGAAGAACAGTAAATAAGCAGCCTGACAAAACAACATGCTGCAGTGCTGTCCCCTGAACCAGAGAGGAGTACAACTCGATTTGACACAGTCCCTGTGCAAGAGGAATGCAGATATACCCCCCCAAATCAACCTAAAACAAACACATGTCATTAAAGAGGCATTGATTCTAACATGTACAAATCTTGTCTTCTGGAAACTGTACAACCGCCTTCACTCCGCCATCTTACAGAAGTAGTGAATCGGCAGCAGCAGAATGTTAGACTTGGAGTCAGCATCCTCGCTGTCTAGTTTAAAGACGACATCGTCCCCGTCCAAACTGATCAGTGAGCCGGTGGCCTCACGGTTGTCGCCGATGATTACTTTTGCCTATGAGAAAAATACAAATCATACGTTCAGTTAATTGATAGATCATCCTCAGTGCACAAGAGACAAGTCCGTAAGCAGAGCACATGGGACTAACACCAACCAGCTCTGTGATGGCTTACTACTTATACTTGGCTACCTGTATAGCATTCATGTTTGGCAACATTGGCTACCTTTTAACTACCCCAGAATATGTACAGCTGGTCCTAACACAAATCCCTTTCGGGCACCCAAGGAATTCTAAGGCTTCTTCTTTAGAACCACATCTCCCAGACTTCAGGAAATTGACTAACAGCTTACAGCCATTTTAAGTAGCTGCTGTGTGTAGCGGCTAGACATTCACCTGTCGATCTGAAGGCAGTGGGTTAAAAGCCAAACGTCGCCAGACTTTAACTCAGTCCTGGTAGGACTGGCTGATAAAACTCAGGTGGACTGGTAGCTGGTGTTACAGTGGATTGGTGGTTTGAAAACCTGCATACCTGGACAGTGTTCACATAAAGTCAACCCTCTGTAATGGAGTTCGAGCTGTTATATATGCCTATGATCTGGCACTACTGAGTTCAGAGGAGGACACTGGAAAAGCACAGACAAGGCTTCAAGAATCCCTCGGAACTCTAGAGAGGTAGTCCAATAGTTGGTACATGCCCGTAAACGGGGCCAAAACCACACACACCATTTTCAGTCTTTCTACCAAATCCCAGAAAGTTTCACTTAAATATGGGAGCCAGGCACTAAAACATGATGATTCACCGACATATTTAGGAGTAACATTTGATCCACGACTCACGTGGAGAAAACAGATAGAAAAGACACAGAGCAAGGGACTCAAGAAAACCCAACTGATGAGGACGTTAGCTGGAACAGACTGGGGGGCAAACCTCAGTGTACTTAAGAGGACCTATACAGGCTATGTGAGGCCAACACTAGAATATGGAATAGCTGCTTGGGGCACAGCAGCTAAATCAAATTTTCAGAAATTCTAAAAGATCCAAAACCATGCTCTCCGTTTTATGACAGGGGCAATGCGCTCCACGCTAATATCAGACATGGAAACAATTACTGGTCTCCACGATCTAGAAGATAGGAGAGACACAAAGCTCCTCACCCAGCTCTCCAAATACCATCACTTTAAAGAACAACCCATGCACAGCCGACTGCAGAAACCCCAGAAGGCTAGACTAAAGAGAACCTGTTTTATTAAGAACGCAAATGCCAGGCTCGCTGTCCTTAAATTTCCTCCCATAATACCAAATGTTCCACTGAAACCTTACGACAACTGCCCCCCTTGGCTCAGGGATAGCCTGCCAAAAGTCAGAACTACTGTAACAGGGATCTCCTCCAAATCATCAATGAGCAGCACTGATATGAAATCAACTAAAGAAGGAGAGATCAATAGACTTTATCCACACCAGAGTTGGATTCGAGTGTATACAGATGGTTCAGCCAAGAGAGCAGTAAGAGACGGAGGAGGAGGCATATACATAGAATGCCCAAATGGTGAAAATGTACGCTAAGATCATCGAAAAAAGGCTGAGACCATTGATAGAGTATCAACTTTCAGAAGCACAGATGGGCTTTCGACGAAACAGAAGTTGCACAGATGCCATTTATACAACTATCAGAGAGGGCATTAGAACATGATAAGACATGTTTGTTGACATTTATAGACCAAGAAAAAGCCTTCGATAGAGTCGACAGGAATATGTTGTGGGAATGTATGGGGAAAAAAGGAATCAGCAATCATCTCATTAATATTTTCAAAAGCCTGTACACAAGTAGTAAATGCTGCATAAGATCGAAGGCAGGGTTGTCAAGAACTTTTATAGTGTACTCTGGTGTGCGTCAGGGCTGTGTAATATCGCCGCTTCTTTTTATAACATACATGGAGAGGGACAGTGTATTGTATTCAGACTAACGACTGGGCACAACAGATTTCGTCAACATATGTTCAAATTTTTCGGTGTAGGAAATACGGAGACGTGTCCCTGCAGCGTGGCACCCGAAAATGCTGAGCATGTGCTCCAACACTGTCAACTGTATGCTGACAACAGAGACGCAATCTGGCCTGTTCCAACAACAATGAAGACAAAACTGTATGGTACACAAGAGGATATGGATTGCACGATAGCTTTCATAAAGGTTACCGGCCTCCTGATATAGGTTTTCTGACAGAAGGATCGAAGAAGAAGAAGAAGAAGGACAGTGTTCTGCATCCTTCTTCTTCTTCTACATTCACCTTTCACTCTTTCAGCCCCCAACAACGCACAGTCTGGGATGGGAATCATCCTCGAGATTCACAACCAGTGAATAACGTTTTTATTTACTTTTTACGGTTGGTCAAACTATACTTCAGAAATCTGGCAACCCAAGCAGCTGCTGTGTTTAGTCTTCTAGCTTCATAATTTGTGTCCTGCTTCCCATACTGTGTTGTGGTTACATCCAGGCTGTGTTATCTGACCCTTTAGCCCGCCAACACATTCAATTTCAGCAAACTCCTAATTAGTCGCCTTTTACAACATGCTTCTTAGGGACAGTGGGCCTGATTATTCCCCCCCCCCCCCCCTTGCCAATTCACCCAAAAGGGGCCCCGGCACCCACTGGAAAGGTCTGGGTTAAATTCCCAGAGTTCCCCATGTGGATTCTGAACAGAGGACTAGACTGCAAGCCCTATGCGACTCATAATGGCACAACAGGATGATGATGTCCTACTGGCTTAGTGAAAAAATCACTAGAAACACAAACCTTATCTCCTTTCTCTGGCAGGACAGGCTCCAAGTGTTCACAGCCTACAGTGACAGTTTTCTCTTCTTCAGTCAGGTACAATGTACACATACCACCCTGAGAAAAGAGACATCAGTTCAGTTCACCTTCACATCATTCTTCAGTTTCTACCTCTTTTACATCTTGCTATGTACAAAGTACGCATACCACCCTGAGAATAAAGACTTCAGTAGAGTTCACCTTCATACCATTCTTCAGTTTCTACCAGTCTTGAATGGGTACCAGGTGCAGCCCTGGGAGGTAAAGGTGGCCGGCATGGTGAGTGGTCTATAAAAATATAGGTCTTGCCCTATATTCCTCACATGCCTGAAGGCGTTGGAAAAAAGGACCTATACCTTTTTCTTATATACATAATGTGTAGAAATAAGAATGCTGTCACACAACTGCATTACTTGTATTTAACTTACACACACACACACACACACTCTCTCTCTCTCTCCCCCTCTCCCTAAAATACTTTCTTCTACCAATTCTCCCCAAAACATAAATAATACTAAAGAAAATATTTGTGTGTGAAAGATTAATGTTTGGAAAGGTTGAATATAAAATTTGTTCAAATACCCAGTTTGTGATCCTTCAAAAATAAAGTTTCTCTGCCCCCCCCCCCCCCACCCCCTTCTTCTCAGAGCTGCATACACGGAGATATACTGATACCATTTGCTCCAGTTCCTCTTGTCTCTGTGTTGCCACTAGAGAAGTATTTTCCTGATTGCAGACTGCACTCTTTTATGCCACCCAGTGGTCCACTTAGTATGAACTCCTCCTCATCCTCCTCCCCCATCCTTCACAGCACCAGTCTGTAACCTCGGGGGCAAGTCCCGGGTGGGAGGCATCTATGAATGCTCATATTCACGTGTTTTTAGTCAGAAGCCGCTGTGGTCTATCGGCTAAACGCTCGCCTTCGGATCGGAAGGTCATCAGTTCAGAACCTGACGTGTGCGGGACCTTGGCTACCAGGTCGACTCGACCTTGACTGGGTACCAGGTGCAGTCCTGGGAAGTAAAGGCGGCCGGCGTGAAGCTGACCACATCATCCACCAAGTGCCTTTTGGTCTACAAAATATAGGTCTAGCCCTATACACCCAACATGCCTGAAAGGCGTGGAATAGGGTCCATGTGTTTTTAGTTGGTTTTAACATCTGATAAGTGATTTCAGGCATTTCTAGGGGAGAGCGTTCTTCTTTGGCCAGGATGTCAGCTATGTGAATACTTATACTCACATGTCAATAACAACCATTATCAAGTGCCTTCCCGGCTAGAGTGGGCGATCATGCCTCTCCACAATCTGCATGTATCATTCGTGTGCCCACAAGCTCTTTCATTTCCCTATTTGAGTACTCCTCTTGCATCGTCCCCAGTACTTCGACTTGTCATCACTTCTTCGTGCATCCACCAGGGTTCGTAGCCAAAAATTACCAGCCTTTTTCAAGGATTATAAATGTATTTTTTAGGGGTGCGTTTTCAAGGTTGCACCATGCATAAACAGTGCCCGGACTACACCAAGTACTTACGTTAATGCCCTTGATGATTCCAGTGTGATATACTAGCTGCTCGTTCTCATGTGTGGCCTTCACCTTCACTACAATATCTGTTGTATGCCAGTCTGTTAAGCCAGATTCCATGACTGAAAGAAGCCAAATGTAGCAGTTGGTGTTTTAAGTATGGTCAAGAATTCTGCTGTTATTGTAAGTTCAAATCATCATTATTATTCTTTTGAATATTTATCACATAAAGGCGGCCTGCGTGATACTGACCACATCAACCACGAAGTGCCGATTGATCTATAAAATATAGGTCAAGCCCTATATGCCCAAAGGCGTGAAGAAGGGTTTTTTTATTTTAAAAAAAAAAAAATACTTTTATACACCTGACATATCTATTTTCTTTAATCCTGTGCAACTGTTACCACATCATCAAAGTTCATCTCTTGAGGTTTCATTTTGGCGTCCAGCCTCCTCAGTTCATTTGTTTCCCATTTAAGTGTAAATAGTCTGTTTCTCCTCAGAATACGCCAAATATATTACAATCTTCTTTGTCTTATAGCTACTAAGAGCAGCTGTTGTCCAGACATTTCTCATTTTTCTTCGCCAGTTAACGTTCATCTTTCTCCTTAGACATTTGTTTTCAAATGTCAGATGACATTGAGGTAAAAACTGTATACACAAGGGAGATGAATGGTCACAGACCACGAGGCAGACCAAGAAAACCATGGAGAGACCTGCAAACACTTGGTGTCACCAACTGGAAAGAAAAGGCTAACCAGAGAGTTGAGTGGAAGCAGGTGATATCTGCATAAATGAACCTTAAGGGCTTGCATTACTGAAGAAGAAGAAGATGATTTTTTTTCAAATGTATTTAATTTTTGTTCCAGGTCTTTTAATGGCATATGTTAAAAATTAAATAACATTGAGAAAATATATAGCCTGGTTTCAAATATGGAATTTAGAATTCCATATTTTGTTCGGACTGCTGATGCCTAATTAATTCTTCTTCTTGTCCATGCCGTGTGGCCTTGGTGGTCCTGTCTATCTACAACCCATGAACTTGTAATCAGTTCTGACACAGATGATCTTTCATGCTATGATGTCAAATTATCCAGTATCTTCCCATTTAATTTTTCACTAATCTGCCAACTTTCTATGATTCCCTTCTGTATGTCAGGATAGTATTTATAGAGCTCTTGAGAATGCTCTTTCTCACCTCAATTGACAAAGTAAAATTGCATAGATGAGAGAGGACTTTCTTCTTCTTCTTTGCGTTCACCAGCAGTAAACTCGGCAGAAAGTCCTGGATGTTTGTCCAATTCTGGATTTTATTCTTGTTCTAAAACCCGAGTTATGCGTGCACATCAATTTTTTAGATCTGCTTATTTGTCTGCAGACTGTTGGTGAGTGAGAGAAGTTGAAGCTCACTAGGACTATACACTGAGCAATTAACATCTGGTGACACAAAGTGAAAACATATTATTCAGATGAGAATTCCCCCACCGCTCCCTTCCCCCTACAAAGCCCAGAAATCTTGTTTAACTGGAAGGTTATATTGGGGACCCCCGAATAGGGCATTCATTTGGGAGGGGGGCAACTGTTATTTCCTCAACTCTAAAGAAGATGCACTCCACTTTAAAGAAAGCACCCCTTATTATTAGACTTTTCACGACATGCTTGTTGGGGGACAATGGGTCTCTTTTTTTTTTGCCCCTAAAACCCATACGGGGAAATATAGTCTAAATATGAGTTGAGCTGAGTTGAGTTAATTCAAGAACCAACATCGCAGCACTCTGGGCATTCCCATAAGCGCTTTGTCCCCATTTTCAGCAGCCACCGCAAAGTTCCAATACCAATGGCGTCGTTAGCCCTCTGATTAAACAGCCCTCTTGCCTTTCTTCTGAGAGTCCGGCATCGGTCCGAACCCCGTCGTCACTTCCCGCTGCATCAATCTCACCAGTCTGTGGTGATCTATTTGCTCCTTCAAATTCTACACACTCTCCCACACGGCTCTAACCACGTCCACCTTATCATGTATCAGTATTCCACCAAGTTATGCACAGCCAGCCAGTGTTTCCAAACACAGCGGCGTATCCCGGAGAAGTCTAAATACGCCACCAATTACCCAACTGAAGCCTTATTTTATGCTACATTATTGTTTTATTAGAAATCCATCAAATATCCCCATTACGATAAATAGTCCCTGTTTTAGAAAGTTAATAAAAATGAAAGGTCCCTTTTTCATAATGGTTAGTTACGTATCCTTTACAGGACGTTGCAGAACCAACGTGTGGTTTTTTTGTGTGTGTGGTTTTTCTTGGCAAATTTACGTTAAGTAGTTTGCCATTGCTTTCTGGATGGTAGGCTTTTTTGATACCACTGTCAAAACCAACGCAAGGCGCATGGCCCGCAGCTGGGATCGAACCCGGCATTACGAAGTGTTCGCATCGATTTAGCCACAGAGCCGACCTTTTTCATAATGCGACAGTGAATTATGGAGAATGCTTACCTGCCCCTGGTGTTTGTGGGGTGAATGGAGCCAGCGGAGTCATGGGACTGTACCCCATGGGAGACGGACTACCTGCAAAACTGGCTGGGCTCGGGCTGGACATCATGGCTGGGTTCGGGGTTCCGATATAGCCAGGGCTCTGAGCTGTGGGACACAAGTGGTTGAACGTGAACAGAAGACATGTGAAACTAGAGTCATGTGATAACAGACAGAAAAACAGACACAGAAATATAAATTCAATTCAATGAAGTACACAGCTGCAGACATTTTCATTCATTCATTCATTCATTCATTCATTCATTCATTCATTCATTCATTCATTCATTCATACATACACTGTCCTATTGTGCCATTATATGTCACACAGGGCTTGCATTCCAATCTATTCTATGCAATCACTTTGACATCATGGATGGAATTCAGACTGCAGAGGCCTAGCAAGTGGCCCATAGATTGTTGCCAAGTGGGTAAAACTAACGTTAGTCTCCCCACGGACCGCCCAAATACACACTAGCTCACTTCTGATTGGTAGTTTCTGAACCTATCACCTTGGCACAAGGTTGGGGGGCGTTCCGTGATGCCGTTGATACCGCGTGTTGTATATTTCAGCACGCCAGCGCTTTTAAACACCAAAAACATGGACAAATTGGGTCTAACACAATCCCCCTAGAGAGTGCTGCAACCTATGTCACAGGCATTCTCTTTCTTGGAACAAAAACGTAAATGCAAGACAACCCAGAAAGCAACAACAGAGTGGCACACCGGTAACCTGCACAAAAGTAGACCAGCCCAACAAACTTGTGAATGAAACGTGACCTACTTTGTTTGGGGAGACTAACGTAAACCTAATTGCCAACTGAATTGTATTAATGATCTTTCTACGCTGTGGGCTCAGGCCTCTAATCTGTGATGATCCCAGTTTTCAACACCGTGGCCTCTGAGTAAACCAACAGTCTTGATCTTTGCCACAATCACTCATACACCCATTAACTTTTTGCTACAATCACTCACACATTCCTAACTCGATGCCACAATCATTCACACACTCCTAACTCTATGCCACAATCACTCACACACTCCTAAACTCTATGCCACAATCACTCACACACTCCTAACTCAATGCCACAATCACTCAAATGCTCCTACACTTTATGATACAATCACTCACAAATTCATAAACTCTATACCACAATCACTCACAAATTCCTAAACTCCTTACCACAATCACTTACACACTCCTAACTCTATACCACAATTACTCAGACATTCCTAACTCGATGCCACAATCACTCACACACTCCTAACACTATGCCACAATCACACGCTCATAAACTCTACACCACAATCATCATACACTCTTAAACTCTACGCTGCAATCGTGACCCCTATACAATCATAACTCACACACTAATGTCATCAACACTCACCATCAAACCCTCCAGGAGATGTAGCAGGGTAGGGGGAATATGCGCTGCCTGGCGTCTGGGGAGTGTAAGGCCCCATGGGGGTCGGGGAGTCGGCATGATAGCCTGGCGTGGCTGGGTTTGGTGTGGCCCCAAAGTCAGCAGGGGATGGGGAATCGTCATAATTGAAGTCAAAATCATTGTTTCTGAAACAGACAAGGAAACAAGTCAAGGTCACCATTAACTGTAAAAGGCTGACCAAGAATGTTTCAGGTTTTAGAACAAAGGATTTTCATCATGGCACACGGGCAGTAACTCATAAGTGCTCCGTTCTTCTTCTAACTCAGATCTGAGTATGAAGAAGCTCAGCACAGTGCACAGGCTCTGTAGCACTGGCGAGGATCCTGAAATACTTTGGGTAGATTTTTAACTCTAAATGTTGCCCGTTTGGCTAATCTTTTTTTTGCCAATGGATTTTTTTTACGTGCGCAACAATGTACACGGGCGTCCGATCTCATTACCTAGAGACCCGGGGAAATTACTAGAAGTCCAAGTCCATGTGAAAAAATCCCAGCCCTTACCGGTTATGGAACCCAGAACCTCTAGCACTCAAGGCGACACCATGCAGCCCCCCCTGACCATGAATGTCTTCACGGTTACTTTGCAGTGCCTTCCCCTTTCCTTATATTCTTCTTCTTCCTTTGACTCCATATTGTTGTTGCTTTATTATTTTATTACTATTTTATTTTGCTATTACTGTGTTGGTTTCTTTGGCTTAGGAGCTGTGAACGCGCTTCATAATTCTAAGGTACCTGGGTGAATTCTAGCTGCAAGCCATTTGATAGCAGAAAGCCTTGCAGTAATTTTGAAAGGGATATCTAGAGCCAACCATTTGGACAGTGGCAAACTACTGAATGTAAAACTACCTGGTAATACTAAACAGCCAATTAATGCTGGGGTTGGTTCTGCAATGTCCTGTAGAGGTTACACAGCTAACTTGCTATTACTTTGTATATATGTATGTATGTGAGTTTGTATGTATGTATGTAAGTATGTATGTATGTGTGTGAGTTTGTATGTATGTGAGTTTGTATGCATGTGAGTTTGTATGTATGTGAGTTTGTATGTATGTGAGTTTGTATGTATGTGAGTTTGTATGTATGTGAGTTTGTATGTATGTGAGTTTGTATGTATGTGAGTTTGTATGTATGTATGTATGTACGTACGGTTGTATGTAAGTATGTATGTATGTATGTGTGTGCATGTTCGTGTGTATGTGGATGTATGTGTGTACTGGGTGCCTATGTGTTTGTGTGTAAGTGAGTGATTGGGCTTGTGTGTGTATGTGTTCGCGCGTGAGCGTGCGCACATATTTTACCACCCATGCTTTTGTTTTTGACTTCATATCCATAATATGCATATCGTTACATGAATATAACATGCTTCATTGATGAAATACAACTGCTGTGTGAAAGATGGAAGTTTGGAAGGGACGAATGTAAGACAGGCCTGCGTGCCTAATTTGTAACCCTTTGAAAATAAAGTTCGTTCGTTCGTTCGTTACTAAGCCCAGGTCGCTAGCACAGATGGGTAAACCTGACTGAGCAGCGACCTGGTGATGAACTCATTGTGGTTAGGGTTCACATCCGGGAGTAGGCAGAAAAGCTCCATTTCTCCCAGATTTACAGTATCTATCATGGAATCAAGGCTGAAGGGTTGCGATATCCATAATACCGTGCCAAAGGGTTAACAACTTATGGTTTCTGGATACTTTAAAAAAAAAAAAAAGCTATTAATTACTATTATCATTCTACCACTATTTAAAAAAAATATTATTTCTATTCCTTATCTACTTTTTATATTTCCTCTTTTTTTAAAATTAAAATTATTATTGATTGCACCTCTCATTTTTGTTACCTTCTTCCTTCAGTTATCTTTGCAACAAATGCCATCTGACAGATAAGTGAAGCTGATGTTGCTTTTGCTACACCACGCATACATTATACATCAAAAGAGGAGAAGGATTTACAGCATAAGGTAGAACAAGAACAAGAATTAAAGAGAAATTCTACAACAGCATGATGTGTCTATGGACGAGACGGCAAACAGCAAGACCGTATTTCTCCCTTCACACCTGAAGCAGTAAAAGAGGAGCTGAAGATGCTAGTTAATTACAATGAAGCTGACCAGCATAAGAATGGAGGTGGAGACGGTAACTGCAGCTCTCTGGTGGCTAGAGAACAAGATGCATACACATGTCACAATTGTAACCGACTCTGAAAGCATGCTGGAAAAGGTGAAGACAGGGATGCTTCGAGAAGAGTGGCAAGCTTCACTGGAAAGGTCACGGGTAGTGAGCATACTTTAGATCTTTTCTCCAGGCCATGCCGGTGTAGTGGGTAATGAACAGGCAGACAGACTGGCTGGATCCGCATCACTAGGTGGTGAATTGATCCATGACAAGGCAGATGTAGTCAAGGCCCTTTGGGAACAAGCAACAGAATCATTAGAGAAACAAGATTATTATGGCCTGAAGAATGAGGCACCCAGGTGTTACCAGAGATTCTGACCGGCTCACTACACTCAAAGGAAAGGCAAGACCAACATATACCCAGATTGTGACCGGTACCATCAGTGCTGCAACTCTGCGCTGGCTGCTGAGGATGAGGATGGAGTACACATTGGAATGCCCTGAGTGCTGTGATGTTAATTCTTGACTCATCTCATTACTCAAAAAACAAAACAAAACAAAACACATCCTTACCTTGATGGGGTGTTGGCATTGGAGGGATCCCAAACACTGCTGCCCCCGCCACTTGGAGTCCTGCCACCAGACTCGTGCGATGGAGTCATTCCTCCGTAATGTGGAGTACGAGACTCATCGTGCAAGGGTGTCTGTGATCCATACATGGGGGTCCTTGAGCCGTACATGGGTGTCTGCCCACCAAATGTTGGCGTACGGCCTCCGTATGTGGATTCCTGGCCACCTGCAGGCTTGGCCCCTCTATATGGCAGAAAAAAAAATTACATTTTATATACTGTTAATATTCATTTTATGCAGCGTTGACATTTATTTTATACACTTAACATTCATTTTATATTGTTAGCATTCATTTTATGCACTGCTAACATTTATTTTATACATTGTTAAACCACATTAATCCCTAAATTAAGAAAGCGTTTATCTCACTGTGTTAACTGGTTAAACTAAACACAACAAAATGTACATAAACCTCACACTCACTGACAAAAGATTACCTATCACATTCTGAGAAATGTTAATCATCTTCTTCTTTGAGCATTCTAAGCTCCTGAGGTCCCCTGCAGCAAGGATTAGTCTTCCTTTACTCGCTGGTAACTCTAAGTGTTTGTAGGTCTGCCTGATATAATCTCTCCACAATCTTCTTGGTCTACCTCATAGTATAAATTCATAAAACTCTGCATCTTTGATGGGTCCAAAGATTCGATATATAATTGTTATTTAAAAAAATGTTAATATGGCTTCATCTCTTTTAGCTGTACTCCAGGTTTTACAGCCATACATACAGGACAACTGGTCTTATCTGCGTTTCATTCATTCTGATTTTGGTGTTACGAGACAAAGCATACCTTTAGCACATATTGTAGGGCACAGTACATATTTTTTCCAGATCATATTCTAGATTACATGTTAGAGCAGCTGAAGTCTGTACCCATGAACTCGTATGTTTCAGTTCTTTTGATTTTAAAAACTGTCAATGCTGTCTGTGTTTACCAATTTTTAGGGCGGTGTAGACAGGAGGAGTCGAGAGCCTAAGGTTTTAGGGCCGCATGGCTGGTGCTGTCGACGCGGACTGTGCAGGTTAGGATGTTGAATTCTGCTCCCGACAAAAAACACCATCACCTTATTGGGGGTCAAAGTCGGATCTTTTGATTGAGAGATGTTAACACAAATAGTTTTAAAAAAAATTATGTATGACATACGTAAGGTTGTTCAAGTGAGAGCGGTCGACAGAGATGGTCTTGCAACTAGAGTGAAGTTCAATACGTGCCGTGCTCTCAGTGGCGTCCTTGACAATACCAATATAACCTGCAAACAAAATGGGTGATTAGTCCGGCACAATTTTCATTATTCATCTCTTTAAAACATATACTCCCTGCATGGGTTTTGGAGCCCAAATGTAACGGGGAAAAGAAAAGACCCACTGTCTCCCTAACTAGCATGTCGTAGGAGCTGACTAACTGAGGGTTTCCTCTAAAGTTGAAGTGATTCTGCATGAGAGACAAGGAACCAACAGTTTGCTTACAATTAAGCCATATCTGTAAAATAGATGTGCAGGCATAACTTAAGTTCTGGAACCAGACTAAAGTCCAGAAGTGGAAGAACAAACAGAACTTTCTGTTGGGAGTTTACAGCCAGTGAACGTGAAGAAGCAGCAGCAGCAGCACGCATGCACACCCACATGCGGTGAGAGACAGGCAGAGAGACAGTCAGAATGAAACAAAAATGCATGCCTGTACAAGCCCATAAAGTAACAGATCATTTCAGGCTGTATACTCTTAGTAGTTTAAGTTTTGTTCTCACATGATGCCCATGGTCACCTTATCAGCTGTCCCTTGAAGAAATTGATGCAAGTTGTTGTCTATCATCTTTTGGTTACATCAAATCACATTCTGTGTTTTCTAAACCCTCCAGCAGCCTTTCTCAAACCTTTATCTCACATGTTTGAGAACATTCTGGATGATACTGAACAATTATTCTGAAGCTGTGGAGATGAGGTTTTATAGACACATGATGAGAATACCCTGGACACATAAAAAAGAGTAATTAAGATGTCTTGAAAGAAACGGACTCACAAGGAGAACTGACTGTGCACATCAGAAAGAGACAATTTATTCTTTGGTCATGTCATAATGAGAAAATTGGAGTACACTGTCATGGTGGGAAAGTTAGAGGGAAAAAAGTCAGAGGGACATGGGAGATCATCTGTGTTAGAACTGATAAAAAGGTACACAAGATAGAAGAAGGCTGTGGATAGACACGACTATCAATGTCCCATGACATGGACTGTAAGAAGTGCCTGGCTGTGTACAAAGAACAATGATGGAGCAGCAGCAGAATAAACAATGAAGCAGGGAGTGAACAGACAATTAACATATTATCAGACCTGACATCATGATTTTTGTGAATCTGTTGCCACTTAGTCACACTTTCAACTTCATGGCAAATGGGTCACCCAATAATTGCCTCATTCTTGCACCAGACAAAATCAAACAGTATGCCCATCAGTGTCAATTGTGAAAAAAATCTGAAACACACTGTGGTATTTGCGAAGTAAACAGCATACATACATATTTTTCTTCTTTGTTCACCAGCTGTAAGCTCTGGCTGAAAGTCCTGGTTGTTCGTCCATTTGTGCCAGGGCCTGCGTTATGTGTGTACATCTGTTTTTCTGGCTTACTTGTGTGCAGCTGGTTGTTTCTTGCCGCTTGCGCAGATGCACTCCGACTTCGGAGGAAGTCCCCAATAAGTCGACTCCAACTCCTTGTTAGGGAGACAGTGGGTCTATTCTTGTTTTCCCCAAAAGTGGGACTCTGGAACCCACAAGGGGAACCGACATATTAAATGCAGTTATTAGAACTGCCTGCCACTTTAACTGTAGTTTACTGATAATAGAAGCAGCAGTTGCACACACTATACTGCACAAGGCACCACCACTCACCCTTAAACGGTCCTCGTACAATACGCACTGTCTGTCCTATGATCTCTCTGTCTCGGCGGGTAAGGCCACCTCTTCCAGCTCCTCCACCACGCCCTCTTCCCCTGTCTGCACCTCCACCACTGGGGTGAGCTGGGCTGGAAATTCTAGGAGACATTGGAGCAAATCCGCCCACTAATGGTGTAGTGCTTTGCTATAGGGTCAAAGATAGATTAAACAAAAGAATGAGCAACTGTCTGCATCACATAAAAACATCACAGAAAAAAATTTAAGCAAATGCCACCTGAATAATGCTAAAAGGATGTTGTGAAAGCAACTAAAAGGGGTAGACAAGGCAACCAGGCAATACTTAAAAGTTGACTAAAGATTCAATCTTTGCAGATCTGTATTGTGGCAGCTCAAACAGTGTACAGCCAGTTTAGTATGTTTTCCATGGATACCTCAAAAAGTGCCAACCTTGAAGTTGCAGATACATGATATGCTATATTAGAAGTCATCAAAGCTCTGAGTCAGCAAACTACTTTCTACTAGTCTCTAAAGCAGCGGTTCTCAACCTGCGGGTCATTACCCTGGGGGGGGGGTGTGTGGAAACAACCCTTTCACAGGGGTCGCCTAAGACTATCGGAAAAAAACATTTTCATTGAAGTTATAAAGTAGCAAGGAAAACAATTGTATTTTTGGGGGTAGTCACAACATGAGGGTCGTGGCATTAGGATGTTGAGAACCACTGCTCCAAAGACATAGCCAGTGTGAAAATTAGCGCCCTCCTCCTTGTCCCCCACAGAAAACAAACACAGATATGAGGCTAAGCAGCTTTTGAGAAAATGAATGGTGATGGCTCCTGGATGAACCCAGAAGCAGAGCATCATGTGTTGGCTCCTCATTAAATGATAGCATTTGTAGATGGTAGCTACTGTCCGTGTGTTACACCTGCCTTCCCTTGAGGACTGAACAGAATGCATAAGGTTCTACAGAGGATTAGTGAGGTGCATCCTCTCAGGATAAAATGGGCATAGATAACTACTATAGTGAGATTAGAAAAACCTGTCTCTGTCTCTTTAAGAGTTTGTTTCTTTAATCTTTTTCCTGCCTCATTCACACTTTACATTCTGTCACTACACGTCTCAAAAGCTTTCAAGATAATTAAATTAGAGAATATTCTTCAATAACAATCTGATTTGTAACTTATGTGAATGTTTATGTGTGACAAAGATGCAAACAGCACAAAATGGAGAGTGAGAAGCAACAATGAAATTCAGTCGGTTTAAATCACAACTAACTAGTGGCATGAAGACTGTTGGCAGCACCTTTTCATCTATCCAAATAGTGTCATATTTGCAAAGATAAAAGATTGACTTTGGAACGATATCAGAAGGAGTATCAGCACAGAACCAATACTGAACTTTATAGGTAGACAATAAATCAAATGGTCTGGCCATGAAATAAGACAGAGCACCACAGAGAGGATTGTTATACAGATACAACGGTAATAGACCCAGAGGTTGACCACACAGAAGATGGACTGCAGAAATAACAGAGACACTGAAAAGTACTACACACACACACACACACACACACACAAAAAAAGGCCTGTTCTAGACAGAGATCTCTTCCTGCCCTGACACTGCTGGGCATTCCAGGAGTAGAGAAAAGATAGAAGAAGAAGAGTATCATAATATTGTGTTTGGAATTAAATTCCTCCTCTCCATAACCCAAAGTCTGGACAGTATTGCAGAAACCATGCATTGCCCCTGCATCATGAATCCTCTTTTGGCCTGCCTTCTTTACTCCAAATGAAAGGTAACACCAATATTTTGGGAACATAGCATGCACAAGCTGCCAGATCAGAGTAGGAAAGCTCTGGTTGTCCACCTAAAGAAGACTGTGGAAAAATAATAAACAGACCTACAAACATTTGGAGTCCCCAAAAAGAGAAGACCCGTCACAGAGATGAATGGAGATGGGTGATATCTGCGGCAATGATCCCCAAGAGCTTGGAAGGCTGAAGAAATGCATGACAACTGAAGGAGAACTACACCAACCTTCCCTCCGCCAGCCAGCGTCAAATGTCTGGTCCTGCAAACAAAGTATCCACCATTTTCTGTCATCAGACGGGAGTTGAGGAATGCAAAGCTGCGATACAAATGCTTGATCTCGCCAGTCCTGCCCTGTAAGAAATGTATACATTTCTGCCACATGTGTTTCATCTGTGTACTTGAACTAATGTATATTAAAAACTTTGCCAAAAAATGTCATCACTCTTCATCTTCTGTTGGCGTCTGTGGCTTAGGGACTCCATATGCGATTTGTAATGCCGGGTTCGATCCCAACTGCAATCCTTGTGCTGGTTTCGACAGTGGTATCAAGAAGCCGACTGTCCAGAAAGCAATGGCAAACTACTGGACATAAAATTGTCTAGAAAAACCACAACAGCCAAAAAATGCTGCGGTTGGTTCTGCAACGTCCTGTAAAGGATACACAACTAACTTTTTTTTTCATCTTTTGCGGCTGCATTAAAAGGGCGGTTGACATGCTGAGTTGTGGCTGTCAGCTAGGCTGTGATAGATGCGCATTTCAGCCCAACACATTCAATTTCAGCAAATCTTTAATAAATCATCTTTTACCACATGCTTGTTAAATTAACAAACGAACAAACTTTATTTTAATAAGGGTTATAAATTGGGCACAGAGGCCCTTCTTACATTCAACCCTTCCAAGTACTCACCTTTCTCACAGCAATTGTACCTGGCATACAGCAGCAATGGCACGGATGCCATAATGATAACCAAAAAAAATCTACCCGAAGAAATGTGGACATCCAGGGGAAAACTGCCACACTAATTTCCTATGAGAACATGCTCTAGAAAACTCAGAAATCATTTTGCGGTGGGATGAAAGTTATAAAATCAAAATACCAAAAAAAAAACTTGCCAGACAAAGAAACAACACTGAACTTACTAAAAGCTTATAAAAACAGTGCCAGTCTTCTAGATAAATAACCGGACATAGCATGGCAGTCAATGAAGTGAAGTAAGATCCCTTTTCATGCCAGTGATTTATCAGGCATATGATGATAACCCAGATTTGTTTAGAATGATAAGTGATGTACCTACCCATTGTGCTATTTGAGCTCTTATTGTAGTTTCCTTCTTTTTTTTTCATGTATCCGAATGAAGTAATTGCCTTGTGCTCGTTTATAGCAAAGCTGCAATATTTGCGCCTTGCAGCTGACACACCCAAGTTCAGCAAGCATTTGTTCATCAGGCTGATCTTCCCGTCTGTGGTATTCTAAGACAGAAAGTCAACTACCATGCCCTCTCTAAGGGCTGTATAAAGAAGAAGAAAAAACAATATTAATTTGAAAAATTAGATCCTATGCATAGAAATTATGTTTACTTACCGAGTGAGGACCTTCAATGACATTAACAATATCCCGGACTTGCACATTGTTATTTTCTGAATCCAGGGAAACAGCATTTCTGGTATCCTTCTTTCTTGTTATAGACTGAGGTTTCACGTTAATCACCTGAGGAAATACAGAGAGTTACTATTAGACAGAAACATCACAAATGCACTAAAGATCAACAATTAAGTATTGAGTCTCTAACCAGAACATACTGAAGTGTATGAATGACTGTAAGCAAATCACGCCATCATATCTTTTGCCATCTCAAGCATGTTACCTCTACATCATCATCATTCTTCTTCACATTCACCGGCTATAAACTCTGGTGGAAAGTTCTGGTTGTTCATTCACTTCTGGACTTTGATCTTGTTCCAGAACTTAGGTCTTGTGTGCACATTCATTTTACAGATCTGGCTTATTTTAATGCAGAATGTTGGTTCCTTGCCTCTCAGGCCTATGAACTATGACTTCAAAGGACACTCCCCTAATCAGTTGCCCTGTATGACATGCTTGTTGGGGAGGCAGTGGGTCTATTCTTTGTTCTGCACAATGGAGCTCACAAACCCATACAGAGAACTTTTCTGCACATTGTAGCCCAGTGTTGTGGTTTACTGTATTTTTCTTGCACTTCTCGAGTGGCTTGGGTAATGATTTATTCATCTTTTTGCCGGTTTCAGCTTCACTGTTTATGCATCTCTTTTTTTTCTTTGGTCTTCCTCTCGCCATCCTCCCAGATGTTCTGCTGTAAAAGGTCTCCAATGCAGTTTGGCCTAGCTGCATTCTCACTAGATACCTGAACCATTTCATTCTTTGTCTGTCAATATAATCCAGACATGGACTTGTTCCAGCTTTCTCTCTAATGCTGGTTTTCGTAACCCTGTCTCTTCTGGTGTTGTTAGTGACCATGCGGAGACAGAGCATTTCACATGTAGTTATTTTCTGCTTTAGTGAAGAAAAATGAAGAATCAAAACAGTAATATATAAACCTGTGAGTTGACACATCCCTTTTTTTTTCCTTCTTCTTCTTCTTTGTTCGCACTTAAAAATATGGTTGGTACGCTCTGGTGCTGTTAACAGCTAGGCTGCAAAATCCACGCCTTTTGGCACAAACGATTTTAGCAAAACCCTTATTATTCACCTCTCGCAACATGTCGGAGTTTATTTTTTTTTCCCTATAGAAAAAAAAAAAGACCTCAGAACAAAAAGGGAAAGTCGACAAAACAGACTTAATCAGGTTCACTGAGTTAGTATCTTGAGAAAGATCCTTCCAGTTGTGAATGACACCTGTCCGTCTTTCAAGCCAAAAGTGGGTGGAATTTACGCTGGTCTCCCCATTACGCAGTGTTTGACCCTTCATTCATGCTTCCGATGACACTTCTACATTAGGGGGGTGTCACAATTTTCAACTTCGTGAGACAAGGTTAAGTACCCTGACAGGACCTCTGTGATATATAAATCGCTGACCTCTTTCCGGCGACTATGCATGAATGAAGGGTCAAACTCTGCGCGATGGGGAGACCAGCGTAAAAAAAAAACCAAAAGTGTTATACTGTGCTACGGGGCAGCATGGGAGTCACAGTCCATGGCGATGGCGGCTGTGACTAGCGACACTTGCCCACGTTAACCCTTCCACCCCCAGAAATCCTTTTTTTTTAAAGCAGGTCATGACCTCGTTTGTATACCTAAACAATCCAGGAAAAAACACTTTTTACACATGCTATTAATAAACTCGTTGAAAATGTATTTTAAAATTATTCTACCAAATATACAGAAATATGAAAGGGGTAAGCATTAAGAGTTGAATCATGAATTGACATCACAGCAGTCGGGGCATTCCCATGAATGATCCGTCCTCATCTTCAGCAGCCAGCGCAAAGTTCCAATACTGATAGTACCGGTCACAATCTGGTTAAATGTCCGTCTTATCTTAACTCTATTTGTAGTGAGCCGGCCAGACCCTCTGGTTATACCCAGGTGCCTCATTCTCTCCAGGCTACAATAATCTTCTTTCTATAGATTCCGTTGATTGTTCCCAAAGGGCCTTAACCACGTCTGCCTTGTCATGTATCATTTCACCGCTTAGTGATGCGGATCCAGCCAATCTGTCTGCCTCTTCATTACCCACTACGCCGCATAGCCTGGAAAAAAGATCCAAAGTATGCTCACTACCCGTGACCTTTCTAGTGAAGCTTGCCACTCTGCTCGAAGCATCACTGTTTTCACCTTTTTCAGCATGCTTTCAGATCTGTTACAATTACAAGTGGTAAGCCTTAAACATGAATGGGGTAAATCATTTAATGGAATAACATCCCAGGGGCCTAAATCACATATATGTATCGGGTGACATGCCATGACCCCTTGACCTTTATCACTAAGACTTAAGAGTAAATCTGACATCTTGGCTTTAAAAAAAAAACATTTGCACAAACGGAAACATCTCTAAACTGTTAGTTAATTTGTTCATATTATAACCTTCTAAAAGTTTGTACAGGTGCGAACTCAGCCAAGTGAATTAACTATTCACCTCGTAAACAGTTGGAAAGAGAAGGTCAATCACAGAGATGAATGGAGGTTAGTTATATCTGTAACAATGAATCCCAAGTGCTCAGAATGCTGAAGAAGAAGAAGAAGATGCTGAAGAAGAAGAAGATATATCTGTAACAATAAACCCCAAAGGGCTCAGAATGCCAAAGAAGAAGAAGATGCTGAAGAAGAAGAAGATAAAAGAACCTGACCAACCTTGTTATGCATGCTGAGGACCTGAAAGTTTTCCTTCTCCAGGCGGACGATAACACCAACTGTCTGGGGGCTGCAGAGGAACAAATGCAAACAGTCATTAGTGGCAGAATTACTGAGGGCTACAGTTAGTTATTTAGTTAGTTAATCCAGGTGGGCATCATAACTCCCTACACTTCGACATGAAATGGCATGTGTGGATTTAAAAATTTTAGAGAGGCATCCATCAAAGATGCAAATAGCGGATGGCTACAGTATGCTTTTAGTGCGTGTGTATGCTAGCACATATGCTGAGACAGCAGTCTGTCAATTTTGTCTTTTTTTTTTTTAATATCCAGAAACCATGAGTTCTTAATAACCTTTTGGCTTGGTAATATGGATATCGCAACCTTTCGGCCTTGATTCCATGATAAATACCATAAATCTGCGATAAATGTGGCTTTTCTGCCTACCCTAAAGCATGAACCCACACCACAAGGAGTTTGTCACCCGGTCGTCGTGAAGTCAGGTTTAGCCAAAAGGGACTGTGATAAACATTTTGTGTTTTTCGTTGGCACAGGAGTGGAGCAACTATGAGGCTATGAAGCTGAAACTAAGATTACCAGAGGAGGAGAAAAAGAAAATATTTGACCAGACAGACAGAACAAATGTGTGTGGGAATAGCTGACCTAAAAATAAAATAAGGAAAATTAACTTAATTAAAATATAAGATGACAGAAAAGACTGAAGAGTCTGCCAATGTGAACCCCAGACCATGAAACTCAAGAGATATACTCACTCCAACATGACGAGGTCACCAAACTGATACTGTCCTAGGGAATCCACACCGGTGGCCATGTCCGCACAGAGCTGGATATCCTTGGGTAACACTTTCAACTGTAAAACACATAGAACAACAGAGGAGATGTGAAAATACACATAGAACAACAGAGGAGATGTGAAAATACACATAGAACAACAGAGGAGATGTGAAAATACACATAGAACAACAGAGGAGATGTGAAAATACACAAAGAACAACAGAGGAGATGTGAAAATACACACAGAACAACAGAGGAGATGTGAAAATACACATAGAACAACAGAGGAGATGTGAAAATACACATAGAACAACAGAGGAGATGTGAAATCATCAGCTTGTTTGTGTGGCCAAGATAGGACAAGACAGAGAAGAGTTCAACCAAACAAGTAAGGACACAATCAGACAGTTTTCTTCCTCGTCTTCACCAACTGTAAACTCCAGTGGAAAGTTCTGGTTGTTCGTCGACTTCTGGACTTCTAGAACTTGAGTTCTGCGTGCACATCCATTTTAAATATCTGACTTTTTTGTATGCAGACTGCTGGTTCTACGCCTCTCAAACAGGTGTGCTCTAACTTCAAAGGAAACCCATTCAGACAGGGAAAGACACACACAGACAGGGAAAGACACACTAAGATATGGAAAGACAAGACACACTCAGACAGTGAAAGACACAATCAGACAGGAAAAGATACACTCAGACAGTGAAAGATACAATCAGACAGGGAAATACACATTCAGACAGGGAAAGACACATTCAAACAGGGAAAGACACACTCAGACAAGGGAAAGACACATCCAGTCAGGAAAAAATACAAAAAGACACAACGCCGGTGGACACACGAAGACAACTTAAGGTACATTAGGATACAACGAGACAGGGAAAGCCATACATACACAACCAGGTAGGGAGAAAAAAAAATCTCGGGTAGGAAAAGTCACATGAAGACACACCTGGCCGGGTAAAAACAATTCTGGACTTGGCAAGATATAAAGCTTCAGGTAATTAAAACTGTGATGTCAGATGCATAACATCACAAGAAAACAACAACATAGAAAAGATTAAGGAATCAAGAGTAAAAGACGATATGATGATGATAATTTGAATACACTCAACAACAACAAAAAGTATGATCTTGGATGCCATTCTTACTTCATGCATGGTCAAATCTGAGAACAAGACGATCACATTGTCCTCAACTCGTACGATCAAGCCGGTGTCGCCCTCATATCTTCCGGCAATCACCTTCACATGGTCACCCATCTTGAAGTGCTTTCTAAGCTCAGTGTATGGAAACTCCAGAGGGTCCTAAATCAGATGGGAAAATCAAATACAAATTACCAGAGGCTGGACTGAGTTGTCACCTTTCGAGTCCAAGTCTAGTCCCAGTCATAAAGAATGCTTCCGAAATGAGTCCAGAGTCAAGTCACTTCATGTGTCAAATCATTTGCAAGGCATGGGACAATGCTTAAAAATTAAACTAGTTGGCTTGTTGTAAAACAACAACAGCCAACAAATGTTAGATTTTATATGTAAATAGCCGAACTGAATGCACACAAATGCACACTGGAGATGTTATTTTAATAAATCTGGAGACTTCTTCTTCTCTGCGTTTTGTTTGGTATGCTCAGATCAGACCATCAGGTGGGTTGACTCTATGAACTCATATGTCAGTAGCAGGTCCTGCATGGTTCCCCACAGCTTGCTATGTACACTTTGCTCTCGGAGTCAGGTTTCTTTCCAAAGCTGTAGAAAGAGTGGGCAGGTCTGCAGAATGTGCACCTGTCTGATAGGTACACTGTGGGGACTGTACAGTCTTTTTGTATGCATGTGCTAGTTGAGCCTGCAGTATCCTGTCTGTAGATGGAAAACTGTTGTATGTGGCTTTCTGTCGAGTCTGCTGATGGGGTCTTGTAGATGTTTATTGTTGGTTTATTCTCTTATTCTCTCCACAATTCCTTGTATTTTCCCTTGATAGGTGTTTTGATTTCTGGTAATGACAATGAATGGGTGCAAACATTCAATTCTTATTTTCTTTGTTCTCCAAAACTTACAGCGATAGGCTGTCAAGAACAAGTTAAACCAAGTCTTCGAAGTTACTAGATGCAACTCGAGTTGCAAGACAAAATCCCAAGTTGAGTCACAAGTCATTAAATACAGTTTTGAAGTGCCGCTCGTCCAGGTCATGTGACTCTAGTTCCAACCTCTACTGGTAATCTGGTAATCTTAGTTTCAGCTTCATAGCAAACGGGTCACCAGATAGTTGCTCCGCTCCTGTGCCAACGAAAAACACACAAAATGTGATGCTGTCCCTTGAGAAGAGAAGGTAATACAGACTGCAGGCTCAGCAAATCCAACATCATACATGTGTACTAAATGTATAAGGCAGCAGTCAGAAGTCCCAACACAGACAGACCTCTTATATACCCTGGGTTTTTTTTAATTGACCTAGACTGCTCAGGCAAATATATGAACCAGAAAATGTTCTGGACAGTCAAGGGGCTGCCATAGTACTGAACATACCACCCTTCAAGGGCTGACTGGTATAAAACAAAAAAAACTAAGGGCCAGCGAGCACCCTGCACCTAAAGGTCTTTGAATTATAGAATATAACAGTGAAATTATATATCAGATTACAACAATAAATTATGCTCACTTATAAACTGGATAAAAGTAGCATAAACAAATTTTAGATTGAATTAAAACTGTAACTATAATAACAAATTATAAGTTAGATTATAATAGTGACATTAATGAAAGTATAATAGCAAATATTTAGGAAATTATTTACTATAACAACTTTAATTAAATTCTAGATTTCAACAGTAAAACTGATGAAATTATAGTAGTAAAGTTAGTAGCACATTCATTAATTTTATTTTATGGCAACTTTAATTGGTATAATTTTTTTTAAAAACAATTTTCAGAATATGTCTTAGAAGAGTACTAAATCTCCACTTGACAGATTTCAGATCCAATACGCAAATAAGACAAGAGACCAAGCAAGACAATGTATCCAATTTTATACTACACTGGCCATGCACTCAGAATGGATAAGACCAGACTCCCCCATCAAGCTCACATATGGTTACCAGAGGGGAAAAGAAAATGGAGAAGACCAAGAGAGACTCTTGCGTAGAACTATCGTCAGGAAAGACTCAGCCATGGGCTTAATGAACAGCCAAGACCTAAAACAGGTGGCAAGGAACCACCAGACATGGAAAGCTATGACCTCTGCCCTATGCGCCACCCTAGTCTCAAGAGGAAAAAAATTAACTAACTAGTTGTGTCTACAAAAACAAAAGGTTCTTCTACCACAAGTAAACACACCCACCTTGAGGTCCTCATGTTTGGGCATGATGGTGATCTTGTTGCCGTCCACCTTGATGACTTTACCCTGCAGATGCTGCAATTCTCCCTCGGCCACCACCACCACATCTCCCGGTGCCATGGTGTGGCCAACGTCACTCTCCTGCTTCTCTGGCACCACTGGGTTCTGGGTCAGGCAACATAACCACATAAACCGTGCTGAACTGCAACCACAACTTCCCCGTGTTGGTTTTGGGGCCGCATTTTTGGGGAAAGAGAGCACAGACAAACAACACACTAGCATGTTGTTGGAGGCCACTGATTAGGAGCCTTTCCTTCAAAGTCGGAATACATCTGCCAGAGAGGCGAGAAACCAACAGTCTGCATACAATTGAGTCAGATCTGTCAAATGGATGTGCAGGCAAAACTCAGATTCTAGAACAAGACTAAAGTCCAGAAGAGGGGCAAACAACTAATTTTTCTGCCGCCGAACAAGAAGAGAAGAAAGGTGTAACCATAACCAGAGTTATATAATACTTGATAAGAAGTTGGAAATTTTTTTTGTTGCTCTGACAGAAGCCAAACATTGAAGTAAATAAATGCTTTCATGCAGTGGCGCTTCAGGTATAGAACACTAGAATCATTGTTTTTTGTATTTTGTTTACTGAACAATCAGCACGTGATGGCTGATGTGGTAACATCTTGCCAGCTGTCTTTACTCCGAGGATATTCATTTATTATTAATTTTAGGCTGGGTCGATCGTGAAGCCATGGTCAATTCTGGAAGAAAAAAATCTGTCTCAAAGAAGATTTGAACCAAAGATCTTTGGACCAACATATGTACATTTAGCCATTAGGTTACCATGGCTTCCCCGACAGATGTGCTATGCTTACACCGACAGATGTGCTATGCTTACACCGACAGATGTGCTATGCTTACACTGACAGATGTGCTATGCTTACACCGACAGATGTGCTATGCTTACACTGACAGATGTGCTATGCTTACACTGACAGATGTGCTATGCTTACACTGACAGATGTGCTATGCTTACACCGACAGATGTGCTATGCTTACATTGACAGATGTGCTATGCTTACACCGACAGATGTGCTATGCTTACACCGACAGATGTGCTATGCTTACACTGACAGATGTGCTATGCCTACACCGACAGATGTGCTATGCTTACACCGACAGATGTGCTATGCTTACACTGACAGATGTGCTATGCTTACACCGACAGATGTGCTATGCTTACACCGACAGATGTGCTATGCTTACACCGACAGGTGTGCTATGTTTACACCGACAGGTGTGCTATGCTTACACCGACAGGTGTGCTATGCTTACACTGACAGATGTGCTATGCTTACACTGACAGATGTGCTATGCTTACACTGACAGATGTGCTATGCCTACACCGACAGATGTGCTATGCTTACACCGACAGATGTGCTATGCTTACACTGACAGATGTGCTATGCTTACACTGACAGATGTGCTATGCTTACACTGACAGATGTGCTATGCTTTCACTGACAGATGTGCTATGCTTACACCGACAGATGTGCTATGCTTACACCGACAGATGTGCTATGCTTACACCGACAGATGTGCTATGCTTACACTGACAGATGTGCTATGCTTACACTGACAGATGTGCTATGCTTACACTGACAGATGTGCTATGCTTACACTGACAGATGTGCTATGCTTACACTGACAGATGTGCTATGCTTACACTGACAGATGTGCTATGCTTACACTGACAGATGTGCTATGCTTACACTGACAGATGTGCTATGCTTACACTGACAGATGTGCTATGCTTACACTGACAGATGTGCTATGCTTTATTCCAAATTTACTTAGACTTTCATTCTTATTTTTCATCATTATGATGTGCCTTTTTATGAGGTGCTTCTTTTCCATGTGCCTTTTTATGATGTGCCTTTTTATCAGGCGCTTCTTTTCCGTGTGCTTCTTTATGTTGTGCCTTTTTATGATGTGCCTTTTTATGATGTGCCTTTTTATCAGGTGCCTCTTTATGTTGTGCCTCTTTATGATGTGCCTTTTTATGATGTGCCTTTTTATGATGTGCCTTTTTATCAGGTGCTTCTTTATGTTGTGCCTCTTTATGATGTGCCTTTTTATGAGGTGCTTCTTTTCCGTGTGCCTCTTTATGGGGTGCCTCTTTATCAGGTGCTTCTTTTCCATGTGTCTCTTTATGGGGTCTTCTTAGTGCCTTTATGTGCCTGTTTATGAGGTGCTTCTTTATGATGTGCCTATTTATCCATGTTTCTCTCAACCAGCTCAGCCAAGCTGTCCAATTATTATTTTTTTCATCACCTGCAGATCCCCCTATGTGCTCCTCATTTTTCTTATCCTCTCAGTGTGGGTTTCAGGTCCTGATTTTCTGAGAAAACACTTCATACCACAGCTGCAATAACTGGATGTTGGGCTAAATGGTATAGATGCCACAGCATAGCTACAAACCTCAACATAATGTGCCGACTGCCTTTTAAGAGTGAAAGCAGAGGAAGAAGAAGCACCAGAAGAAGATAAAGAATGAGAAGAAAAAGACCTTCACATAGCTGCATCTACCAACCATTAAAGGATACATTCAACCTGCATGCCCTCGGGTTGATCCTCAAACTTCTCAAGCTCTGCCAGTGTCGGCTTGATTCCTTCTGCAATCTGTTCACATAAATCAAACACTGATTTAGAATGGTAATACACAGAAATAAATTGATAGGGAACTCTTGACACTGTAAAAACATTATCTATAATAAACAAACATATATGTACTGATTAGCACTCACAGAAAGAAGTAGCAACAGAACTGAAAGCTATAGTTACCATGCCAGGAATAAAACCTGTCACCTCAAAGTGATAACAGCGCCTCGCTACAGAACAAAGTCTACTGAGACACATGACCAGCTGGGCATCCTTTCTAAAGGTGTCTTTACTAGCCAAGTCTATCAAACCGCTTGAATCCACAACTATGGATTATGGACATAATGCACTGTAAACTATAGAAACGACACCTTAGGTTACATAAGTTTATATTAACCAAGCACAAATCGAATACCAAACACAGCAACAATTATACTGTTTAAAAAATGCAGTTATCTGATAGTGCTTTTCAACTAAAAAAAAAAAAAAACATACATACTGTCATAAGTTTTACCTTTATTCTTTGAAATTTAATGAGTAAAATTGTTCAAATTGCACAAAAAAGAATACCTTCGGTTTCAACCAGTCAACTGACAGTTCTTTTAAATCTAGGTCATTAATAGTTTTTAAGTGAACAGGCCTTCCCGTCAACTGATAAAAATGGGTCATCAGATAAACGTGTTTTTTTTTCTTTAACAAGAAAGCGCCATCGGATAACTATGCATTTCTTTTTTCTTTAAAAGGAAAACACCATCCATATCAATTTTTTTGTTCTTTAACAGGAAAGTGCCACTGGATAACTATTCCTTTGTTCTTTAACAGGAAAGTGCCACTGGATAATTATGTATTTCTTTGTTCTTTAACAGGAAAGTGCCACTGGATAATTATGTATTTCTTTGTTCTTTAACAGGAAAGCCCTGTCGGATAACTATGAATTTCTCTGTTCTTTAACAGGAAAGTGCCATTGGATATTTATGCATTTTTTTTCGTTACCAGTATATAAACACATCGTGCTCTTTTATCTACTTCTTTCTACGAGTACCAATCAATCTGTGTTTAAAAAATATATATGAGACATGCAGATGGTACATGTTCTGGGCGCAGGTTTCTCTAACGTACAGTTACTGGTATAAATAATCCTCTACAATCTACTCCATCCGTACCCTCCATATGACTGCAGGATACACAGGCCTGGTGCAACCATTATAGATAACAACTTCTTTAGAGGCTGAATGTCGGCGCCTGTAGCTTAGGCGTTGCAAGCGAGCTTTGTAATTCCAGGGCGACGGGTTCGATCCCAGCTGCGGGTCTTGGGTTGGTTTTGACAGTGGCATTGAGAAGCCGACCCTCCAAAAAGCATTGGCAAACTACTGGACGTAAATTTGCCTAGAAAAACCACAACACATGAGATTTCCCAGGATGAGACTCAGTCACACAAAAAAACAGCCAATCAAAACTGACATACTGATTGCCACACATTAATAAAACCAATCAAAGATGATAAGTTCACTGGTATCAATGAATATTAGCCAATAACAAGTTCAACAGTATAAACTGATATTTGCCAATCAAACATGACATGCTGGCTGGTACAAAGAAAAGTGAACATTCTTATGATGGATGATGCCATCAAGACCTGTAAGGAGAAGAGAAAGAAGTACTCTGTAGGGTACTGGAAGATGAGACCAATCTGTATATCAGAGCTGGCATTTGCAGACCATGTGGCCCGCCCTGATATCTAAATCAGAGGCACACCTTCAGTCCAATTTACTTGTCTGGAAGGAAGAGCTTAAGAAGAGAGGGATGACCCTCAGTATCTCCAAAACTAAAACTATGGTGATCTCAAGAGAGGAGAAGAAACACCAGATCATGATGGGACAGTAGGCACTGGAGCAGGTTAACCAATTCAAATACCTTGGAGTTGTACTAGACCGAAACAGAGGCATTAAGACTGAGCTGGCTACACAAAAAGCAGCTGCTGGGAGACTCTTTCAGGCCATAAACAGAGGGTTTCTTAGCAAAAGAGAAATTGGCAAGAGGACGAAAATGGCTGTTTATTTCTCTACCTATGTGCCAGTCCTGACCTATGGGTATGAGTCATGGGCAATGACAACAGCTCAAAAAAGCCAGCTTCAGGCCTCAGAAATTAGATATCTGAGAAAGGTGGTCCAAGTGACAAGAAAGGACAAAGTCCACAATCAGACAATATGTCAAGATCTTGATACAAAGTCTCTACAAACCCGAGTGGATCAGTCACAGTTACGATGGTCTAGACATGTATGCAGAATGAGAGAAAACTGGCCACCATGGAAGGCTAAAATCCAGGGAACCAGACCTCCAGGGCAACCAAAGGTGCGCTGGGAAGACAAAATCCGACAGTCCCTAACTGACAGAGGACTGGAATGGAACAAAGCCAGAAAGAAAACTGCTGATAGAGACATCTGGAGATCTCTCTGGCAAACCTCTACACCCCAAGGTAGAAGAGCAGCGACTAAGTAAAGTCATAGATATAAACAGAGGAAAACACACGATAATACTCCCAATGTGGCTATGAACAGACACATGAAAATATTCACAAATATGTCATGATAAAAGGAAAACATGTGACAATACTCACAATTGCAGACATGGCAAAGAGTTTGAATAGGAATCCTTTCCGGTTGTATCTGTTGCCCTCAAACATCAAGAAATCACCATCAGATGTAACTTCACCACCAATACGCCTGTAACAAAAACACATAAACTTCTGTGAAATGAAAATTCCTTTTCATTGTATTATTCACCTCTGTAATTACCTCACCATTATTCACTTCTATCTGCCCAGTTTCTCTTAACTCTTTTAGATCCAAGCACGACTCCTTCGATCCCGAAGAGCTGAACCTCTAAACGAACTCTCCTCTTTTGAGTGTTCACTAGCTGTAAACTCCAGCGGAAAGCTCTGGTTGTTCGTCCACATCTAGGCTTTGGTCTTTTTTTTTTTCTTTTTTTTGGGTGTTTTACAGATCTGGCTAACTGTATGCAGACTGGTGAATCCTCACCTCTCAGACAGACGCATTCTGACTTTGAAGGAAACATCCTTAATTGGCTGTATCCTTAGATATGCTTAATAGAGGGACCATGGTTATATTCTTTGTTTGAAAAAATGGAGCAACAGAACCCAAATGAGGATAGAGACCATAACATCTGACACCTGATGATATGACAAGCTGTCTGGCTGGAACCTTAACAGCTTTCCAGGTGACAGTATTAAACTGTGATAAAGGGGAACTTGCCAATCTGCCAGTGGCATCCAACTAAAGCCCGGGATGGAGATTTGCCTCTCCACAGGAAACAGCTGAGCAGTATGTACAGAAAATGCTGTGTCCATGCAGCTATGATTTGATTCAAGAACCGACATCACAGCACTCGGGGCATTCCCATAAGTGCTCCGTCCCCATCTTCAGCAGCCAGCGAAGAGTTCTGATGGTGCCAGTAGCATTCTGATTAAACATCCGTCTTGCCTTTCCTTTGAGCCTCGAGCATCTGCCGGAACCTCTCGTCACTCCCCCTGCATCAATCTCACCAGACTGTGGTGATCCATCTGTTCCTCCGAACTGTACACGCTCTCCCAGAAGGCCCTAATCACGTCTGCCTTATCATGTATCAGTATTCCACCAAGCTGTGCAGAACCAGCCAGTCTGTCCGCCTGTTCATTTCCCAACACAACGGCATACCTGGTGAGAAAATCCACACAATACTCCTCACCCGTGTCCTCCGCAGCGAAGCATGCCACTCTGCACGAAGCATGCCTGTCCTGATCTTCCTCAGCATGCTTTCTGAGTCAGTTACAATCACGATGTGTGTGTGTGTGTCGTGTTCTCTAGTCAGCGGAAAGCTGCAGTGACCGCCTCCAATCCATTCTTAAGCTGGATGTTGTAGCATCATATGCTAAGCTCTCCTGCACCAAATGTAGACCATTAACTTTAGCTAAGAAGCCCCAAGCACTTCTTTTGCCTGTTGACACTGAACCGTCCGTGTAAATGATGAAACCCTCTGAGCGAGCATTATCTTGAATTAATTGCTAAATTTCCATCTCTGTGGCACCTCCGGGTCAATCTCTGCATTCCTGGCTAAGTGTGATTATGACCCTATACAAGTCTGACTGTTTAAGTGGCAATTTGTCCCACTCCTCTTCTCGCCTGAAGTTCTCAAGGATGAAAACCTGTCTGGTTGTGTCTTCTGCCTGAACCATCCATGACTTCCCTCTTATCAGCCGCTGACTCTTAACTGTACCCAGAGCTTCATGCAAAAGGTGGTCTGTGTCTGCAGCTACCCTAAGATATGACTTCGTCTGCAGCACCTTGTGCCTACCTGCATCCGTCGGCAAACCAAGGATGTTTCGCATACACACCACTGGGGTATCTCTGGTGCAACCCAGAATGACCCCGCATAGCTGCGTTCTGTATTCGCTCTAGTTTGTCCATCTGACTTTTTGAGACGGTAAGCAGCCCCAGGCCATAATCAACCACTGATGGGATCAGGTGCTGATATAGTGTGAAAAGCATTCTCTGCTCTATGTCAATTGCAGCTATAGTCTTAAGTGCACTAAGTCCTTTTTGGCATCTTGTCACAACACTCTTCACATGGTCCTTAAAGGACAGGCTCCTGTCAAATGTAATCCCTAGATACTTCAGTTTGCTCTCTCTGTTGCAGTTTCTACTATCTATCGTGAGACTTGGGACATTAGCTTTAACGATTCTGTTGTCTAGAGAATCCCTCAAAACATACGCCTTTTCTGGGTGGACAACAGCCCTCATTTCTGTACATCACTTAGTCACTTTGTCTACTGTCGCTTGTAGCTCCCGGGCTGTTTGTTCCCTCTCTTCCCCATGCCATATGCAAGTATATAATCCGCAAAAGTCACTATCCTTCCAACTCCTGGTGCTTCTAGGCTTGCAATCTTGGTCGTATACACGTTAAAGAGCACAGGCGAGATGGCAGATCCCTGTGGCAGTCCTGGGGCCAAACTGCATGGTTCTGAGGTCCATGAGCTATGATCCTTCCATCAACCTGAAGTGTTCACTCCAAGAGAAAGGACACACCAACAAGTTTGTAATATAGCATGCTGTAGAAGATACCAGAACAGAACAGCAGAGTTTCACTCCCAGACCAGCTACCAACGGAGGTTAAGGCAGAATGAGGTCCAGACTGACCAATCAGTGCTGATACGACTGAGTTCCAGCCAACATCAAAGCACCGACGTGAATGAAACCGATCCTCTTAATGGCAATGAAATCGATCCCTCCCTAGTGCCCTACTCCACTTTAACCTGTTGGCGCAAATAGGATGAAAAGTTTGGTAAACATCGCCAAACATTCAGTGTCAAATGAGAACCAACAACTGTTACATGAAAGCCGAGCCATACCCGACTAACGTTTGACAGTCTTCTACGTCAGGAAATCACCAACAATCAGCAGGTCTTCTATAGAACCTCGCTCTCGTCACGGCACACCTAAAAGTCTCTAGCCATTTCTCCAGCCCTGTGAGCTCAAACAGCCAATGCATCTTCAATATCTCGCATCAATCTTTTGCAGTGGCCTGCTCTGTCTCGTTTTCTGGAAACTGTACCCTGCATCACCCATCTCTCCAGTTCACCACAACAACAACATGGCCAGAACACCCCAGCTTTCAGGGCCGGATGCTGTTTATGAGTCAATTCTCCTCGATGCTCAGATAATCATGCAAGATGTCATTGTTTTCCCTAGGATCTAAGAGGTGGCAAATCCTTTGACAATAACGACCCTGAGATGTCATACCCTGACTCAACAAGCATCAAAAAGCAATTTCACCAACCTGATTTCCTCCACATCAAACAATTTCTGCGGCGGCTTACGTTTCCTCTTCTTCTGGTCCTGGTTGCTACTAGATGACCTCATGGCGCCGCGGGGGCGAGTGTAATCAATCCTTGGGATCAGCTTCAACTCAACTTCATTTTGAGACGGATAAACAATATCCACCTGAAACAATTCAACAGAGAAAGTGTCTAATTATTTTACCAGACTCCACATGTGGGTTCAGAGGAGAAAAGGAACAGACTCACTGCCTCCGTAACAGGCAAGAGTTGACTTAGGGTTTTCTTTCAGTGCATCAGCCTGAGAGGCAAGGAACCAACATTCTGCATACAAATAAGCCTGATAGGTAAAACTGATGTGCATGCAAAACTCAAGTTTTGGAACAAGATGGAAGTCCAGAAGTGGATGAGCAACCAGAAATGTCAACCAGAGAACGTGAAAAACAGGCAGCATCATACCTTAGAGGTTAGTAAAAGCAGTTTCACAACTCTTAAGTACTAGGGTATGAGTTTCGTGGTGGATAGTTCATTTCCAAAAACTCACCAGTGGTACGAGAGTCTGAGGATTTCTCAGCAAATCATAAATTTGCCCGAGGAGAAAAATGTCTGTACACTGCTCTACCTATGTACAAGTCCCGACCTATGGGTGTGAGTCATAGGCAATGAAACCCAGGCCTTACAAACTCGAGTGGATTAGTCAAAGTTACGATGTATGCAGACTGTTGGTTCCTTGCCTCTCAGGCAGATGCACTCCGACTTTGAAGAAACTACAAATTAGTCGACCATTTCATCATGCTTGTTGGGATGACAGTGGGTCTATTCTCGTTTTCCCCATAAAAGTGCCCTGGAACCCACACGGAGAATCAATTTATCCCCTCAGGGCGGCTACCTAAAGGTTTACCAAAAAAACCTTGAGATTTAAAAATCTTTATCTAGGTGGCTGACCAACAAGGCAAATCCCAGATACCCCATTCAACCCCCACTGAAATCATAATTAGCGCATCCTGTAACATTTACCCCAGCCTTACGAGTAAGGACATTAGCTACGGTTCTTCTTGTCCTTTAGCTCACAACGGAGCACAGAACCTCAGCCAGCTCATGCCAAACGTATTCTGATTGACTCAGATTTTTGCGCCTGAAGTTTTCTACAAGATAAGCAAGCCAGTCTCACCCCAACCCTCTTTGGGAGACTTTTATCATCTTCTTCTTTGCAAACACTGGCAAAAGGTTATGGTTGTTCGTCCACTTCTGGACTTTAGTCCTGTGTCAGAACTTGAGTTTTGCAGGCACATTGGTTTTACAGATCTGGCCTATTCCTCTGCAGGTTGTTGGTTCCAGGCCTTTCAGGCAGATGTACCCCAAAATAAAAAGCAAATACCCCTAATTAGTGGCCTTTTACAACATGCTTGTTAGTGAGGCAGTGAGTCAGCCCTCCACCCCCAGAATGGGGGCCCCGGAACCCCCCACACAGGGAAATACACTTCTGAATTTTAATCTTGCTTTAAAATGTGAGTCTGGCATGCATATCTGCTTCACAAATCTGGTTTATTTGTATGCAGACTGTTGGTTTCTTGCCTCTCGGGCTGATGCACTGACCTACATAAAGAAAACACGCCTAATCAATCACCTCCTAAGACATGCTTGTTATGGGGTCGGTCTATTCACCCCCCCCCCCTTTTCCAAAGAAGCCCTAGAGAAAACATAGGGAATCATCAGATCTGATTTAGAACACCAAATAATGAAACCTACAGGGACATAAACACATCTACACTATACGTTCTTCATTTTTTATTCACCCTAAACACACAGAATCCTGGAGTTCCCTGGAAAGCCCAATATTAGAGGGGTATTAGTCTGAAATAAACACTGACTAACCCTAAGCCAAACCCTAACACCCCTATAATACTGAACTTTGCCAGACACTCAAGGATTCCGTGTTGAAAAAGAACCCACTATAAGACACAACACATGACGACGACAGCAGTGCCGGCGATGAGGATGATAAGGATGATAATGATTTTGATGAGATGACTAATTTTACAAACCTGAGCAAGATCGTCCTTAAATATACCCCGCTTGAGTCGAACCCAGGCCTTGGGTTTCAGACTGGCAGTTTCCTTCACGACCTTCAGAACATCGGTCATCTCACGAATAGGAACCATCTGCAAGCCACACAAAAAACAGAATTCAACACCTAGCAACAAAAGTCTTGTTAGTCTAAATAATTATAATGAATTCACCACATGGTTTGAAACCAGTTTAAACAATCACTAAAGTAAGTTCAGCTGAGCTGAGAACACACATCACGGCGAAGAGCAGCCAGTGAAGAGTTCCAACTCCGATGGATAGGAACATGTCTAGTGCATGTCTATCTTGCCTTTCCTCTGAGTGTTGAGTGTTGGCAGGATCCACTGGGTCTTCCCACTGCACCATTCTTTCAGAGAGAAGAGGTCAGACTCTGCATCACTCGGAACATGCTTTATGGATAGTGAGTGGACAGATCATCCTCACTGCATGCTGAACCATTCAGTCCATAAGTCTCCATAGGATCAACATGGTGAATAGGCGGTTTAGTGTTTTTAGTTGTGGCAAGTTTTTGCTTTACCAATAACTGTCTGTTGCATTTTACTGCGCATGTAGACTAAAAGGATACAGTTCCATCGCCCAGCTACTGAGCTGAATGAATAGCGTTACACATTCAGCTGCGGATTGAACTGGAAATGCCTTTTCACTGCACCTAACACAGTTTGTGTTGTGAACTGCAGATTCAGATATTGGAGAGTGGCCTGTTGCCAGAAAACTGGTGGTTCCTAATGCAATAAAAAGCATATGCGGCTACTGGTGTGTTGTAATGTCTGCCTAATCAACGATAAACTGCATTTCTAGCGTTGGACTGTTTGTGTTGACACCTCTACCGCTGCTTTATGCGTTTAATGCATGCGTATGCTATTGGATCTGCTGAAACTGCAGCCTGTGTCAAGTTTGTTCACAAGGGACAGTGATGGACTTTTTGTGTGATTTCTGTTGACTCAGGAATAGACCAACTATGGCATGACCTACATTGCTGTGAATTTGCAACTGCAATTACCTTACCTTAGTCCACATGTGCTCAGATCCCCTCCTCAGCAGTCAATCCTGCACACAAACAAACTCCACTCTCATCATCCGACACCCTTGCTAATGCTCAGGCCTACCAAGACCACAAGGAATGACTGTGTCAAAACAAAAATGTTCTGAAAGGAATTAGATTTCCTTTTTGTCCCATAACACACTGGGGTGAGAGGGAATGAACGAGCGGATTGGCTTGCTGGTAGGGCCATGGTAAGTACAGGAAATGCAATGGATCGGGCTGACATTCTCAATACTCTCAAGGAGGCAGGACGAGAAGATGATTCAAGAGACGACATTGAATTGTCAATACTCAAAAGACTACAAGAACTTCAGCTAAAAAGAGGTGTCGCCAAAATTGAACACTATAGAAATAGCTAATGAAGAAAGATAACTGGTGTTATCAGTTGCCAAATGCTGTGGGATATACTGAAGATAGAATCCGAGCGCTTATGGAATTGTCTGATGTGCAATGAGGATAATCTTTTGATTACCTAACAATAACTGTGCAAACATTTAAGGAAAACACACTTGCCTGCTGTTTGTAGTAGCCAATTCGTAAAGCGCCGATGCCTTCTATAGCCTGTTTCACGTGGGTCTGCTTGAAAGCTTCAATATAGATGTAGCCCTTCAGTCCTTCCTTGGCAACCACAGACTTGATCTGGAGTGGCTGTACAAGGAAACGCAGACACATTTTAGTACTGATATCGTCAACCCAACAGACACCCACTACATCTGGAACATCCAGAATGAGTTATTTAATCGGTGGTTCCCATTAGCTCAGACCTGCAGCCACTCCTTTCTGAAGGTCTGCAATATTTTTAAAAGCATACTGAGGAAATTATCATTTATAAATATATTACAATCGCACACAAAAAAAGACTACAATCTACAACCAGTGTGGGTTCAGGGGCCCTGTTATAGGAAAAACAAGAATAGACCCACAGCCTACCCAAAAGCATGTCGTGAGAGTCGACTAACTGGGAGCTTCCTTCGAACCCTGAGAGGCAAGGAACCAGCAGTCTGCTTACAAATAAGATTTGTAAAACAGGACTGGTCTAAAAGTGGATGAACAACCAAACTTTCCTATGGGTGTTTACAGCTGGTGAACACGAAGAAGAACAACAACAATCTATAGTAAGTTCCCTCGAAGTCGGAGTACATCTGCCCGTGAGGCAGAGAACGGCAAAAGCCAGTAAAACGGTTGTACACGCAAAACTCAGGTCCAGGTAAAAGCCAAAAGTCCAAGCGGACGATTAACCGGGACCTTCCCCTGGAATTCACAGCCGGTGAACGAAGAAGAAGAAGAATCTATAGTAAAGATTTGGAAGGGGAAGGGGGGCGGAGGAGATGTTTAGTGGTAAATATTATGTCCTTTGGATATTTTAACTAGGAGACAGACTGGCTGGTTCTGCTCAACTTGGTGGTGAACTGATGTATGACTCTGCGCTTGCTGCTGAAGATGGGAACGAAGTGAACTGAACATTATCATGGACCCTTTAAATTTGTTTCATGGAGCCCCACTAAATGGGAAAACACTGATAAACATGTTTTGAAAGAAGTGAAGGCACAACGAAAGGAGGTGGAGGGCACAGTAGTGCAGTGACTAGAAAGCTTCTTCTTCGTGTTTACTCACTGTAAACTCTGATGAAAAGTTCCTGTTGTTTCTCCACTTCTGGACTTTGGTCTTGTTCCAGCCATTGGCTGTGACTGACATGCTTCCCTAACCCACTATCATTTGGAGACATAGAAAGGGGCACAAAGACAACCTATTACCAATAACAGAATGTGGTGTGATTTTTGCAAACCTTTCTTCACAGGCACAGTCTGAAACTGATATATTAGCTGGGCAGGTTACCTCCAATTATCCCTGTTATTTTTTATCTTCTTCTTCTTAGAGCTCACTGGCTGTATACATGTTCACCCACTTCTGGTCTCTGGTCTTATTCCAGAACCTGAGTTTTGTTTAACAGATCTAGCTTAATTATTTGCAGACTGTTTGTTCCTCACCTCTCAGCCAAAACAGGATATCCTTTTTTTTTGAAATTGTAAAAGGTTTGCTATGTTTATAGACGGTTTGACTGAAATCAAAAGGAGGATGGCCATAGCAATACAAAGATTAAACAGAATGAAAAGTCTATGATTGAGCGCCAGCAAGGAAATTAAAATTAAAATTTTGACAGCATTCATGTTCTCTATAGCAATATACGGATGTGAGTCGTGGACTATATCCCAGCCCTTAAGAAAGAAAGAAAATAGGGACTTTTGAACTGAAATGCTATGGAAAGATTCTCAGAATACCGTGGAGAAAGAAGAGATGAAGCATTGTCATTTCAAAAGATCTGAAGATCAAGGAAGATAATAAATAGCATCCTGTCTCGGAAGCTGAAATATTTTGGTCATATCAAGCGCCATGGCGGACTGGAAAAAATAACAGCAGAAGGCATGGTACCAGGAAGGAGAAGCAGGGGCCAACCAACATGAAGATGGGCACAGGACATAAGATATTCCTTGAATATGAAAGTACACGAAGCAGTAGAGCTGGTGAGACCGAGTTTCTTTCAGGCAGACCATGATGAGAGTGACATTCTACTAAGCCCCTGTTACAAGATGAGGTGTTTAAAGTATTTAACTGTACTGCTATTAAGTTCTCCACATGCTCCCTCTAGTAACACTATATTATTGCCACACAACTCAGGATTCAACTTCACTTACCTCTTCAGTGAACTGGTAGGTTATCATCTTCCTCATGATGTGAACGATTGTGGCCTTCTCCTCTCCCATTCGACACTTGACCACCCACAAGTTTGGGTCTCTGTAAGAGACAGCATCATGTCAAGTGATCACAACAACATTAGAATGCAGCAACATCATCAAAGGCACTACATCTCAGAAGATCAACTACAAAAAGAGGACGGCCACGAAAGAAAGATGAATCGATTACATTGAATACACGTGACGCCTTCAGGACCTGGAGATCGTCCGCGTTCAGGACCTGGAGATCATCCGCCTTCAGGACCTGGAGATCATCCGCCTTCAGGACCTGGAGATCATCAGCCTTCAGGACCTGGAGATCATCAGCTTTCAGGACCTGGAGATCATCCGCCTTCAGGACCTAGAGATAATCTGCCTTCAGGACCTAGAGATCATCCGCCTTCAGGACAATTGCCAGCGTGTGCTAGATCACAAATTATTACTCCCTATGACACATAATGGCAGAAGTTGTTTGAGATGATAACAACCACAATGTTTAATAAATCTGGCTAACACAGTTTATAAAAAAAATAGCCAGAGGCTGACCAACATGACAGATGACACAGGATATGGCCTGGATCTGAAAAACATAAGGCATTAGAATAGGCATGGAAGTGAGAAGACATCAGTCGGGTTATGATATGAGCTATAAAAGGTAAAAAGGTAAAGTCGGGAGATGTGAACCAGCGTCACTGCACACAGTTATAAGCCATAAGTACTCTGCCACCAGTACAGACAGCTGATAAGAAACTGTCCATCTGTGTCGCTGTCTGCACGAACTTTATAGCTACGGCGACATTCCTCTATTTACCCCAGAGTGTTATTCATTTCCCTTGAGGCTGGGTGAACCCCGGAAACCGTCCGGTTTCGAACACCAGCCATAGGCTGCAGCTGGATTTGAAAGCGAGTCTCCTATCACCTGCGCTAACATAGCCCCTCTATGTGATTTGAGCTTTATTTTGAACCCCCAAAAAAACCTGTTACACAATGAGGATTAATTTGTAAGGAATCAGGTCACGAGATAATTGCTGGCATTCTCTGGTTGTGGAACCTGGTTGTTCGTCCACTTCTGGACTCTAATATTGCTCCAGTACTTGAGTTTTGCGTATACATTTGTTTTTCAGATCTGTCTTTTATTTTTGTATGCAGACTGTTGGTTCCTCACCTCTCAGGCAGATGCACTCCGACTGTGAAGGAAACTCCTAATTAGTCTTACTTTTATTGCATGCATTCTAGGAAGCAGTTCGTCTATTATCCAAAATGAGGCCCCATAGCCTACACGAGGAGCACCTTCTTAAGGCAGTATTTCTCAATCTGTGGGTCACAACCCCTTATTTGGGTCGAACAAACCTTTCACATGGGTCGCCAAAGACCATCGCAAAACACATTTTCACTGAAGTTATGAAGTAGGAAAGAAAATAACTCTATGGTTGGGAGTCGCCACAACAAGAAGAACTGTATTAAAGAGCCGCAGCATTAGGAAGGCTGAGAACCACTGTCTAGAGGTAAACCTCAAGATAACGCAGACAACAAATAATTATTACATTTTAATTTGATATGTCTTGGAAGCTGAAATAGTTTGGTCATATCAAGCTCCACGATGAATTATAAAAAATAATTGCAGAAGGCATGGTACCAGGAAGGATGGGCAAGGACCTACCAGCATAAAGATGGGCACAGGATATAAGTGACTCCTTGTGTATGAAAGTACATGAGGCGGGAGAGCTGGTAGACTTTGATGAGAGCGAGGTTCTGCAAAGAACCTGCTACATGATGATGATGAGACAAGAAAGAAATAAATGGGAGTTTAGAAGGTATGGTTAGTGATCAATCCCACCACCTCCAGGATACTAGCTAAAGGTTTACCGTGACCTTCCTGAGATTCAAACATGTCAATCTGGACAGTAGATCTTCTTCTTCTTCACTTCCTTTTTTACCGCTGTGGGTGTCGAGGGAGATATAAGGTTCTGTTTCTAGCTCTTCTGGCTGCCTCGACCATAGGCACATCGTGCTGTTGTAGAGTTTTTCTGATGTTATCCTTCCATCTTGTTCTTGGTCTACCCCGTGCCCTACGTCCTTCTTCTCTTTCCATGTATGCTTTGTATGGTATGGTGTCACAAGGCATTCTCTCTAAGTGGGCAAACCATTTCACTTGCTGTCTTTGTATGTAATCCAGAATTGGTTCTGTGCCGACTTGTTCTCTTATGATCTCATTCCTGATCTTATCTCTTATGGTCACTCCTACAGCCCTTCTCAGACAGGACAGTAGATCACCAAGACAAATCCCAATTACCCCATTCAACTTCTAAAGAAGTTACAATTATGGCACCCGTAATGGCCACACAAGCCTGGTGTAACCTGCAGTCCCGTGTGGGTAAGAAAGACTGCACTGTACTTTAAAGAGCAAGGAAAACAATGTACTAGAACAATCAAAGATATTGAGAATAGTCAAGACAAATTATCTCCGGACAGAGTCAACACCTTCTTCTTCTTCGTGTTCTCTGGCTGTTAACTCAGTTAGAAAGTTCTGGTTGTTCGTCCACTTCTGGACTCTAGTCCTGTTCCAGAAACTGAGTGTTGTGTGCACATCTTTTTTACGGGTCTGATTTATCTGCATGCAGACTTTTGGTTCCTTGCCTCTCAGGCAAATGTACTCCCGACTTCAAAGGAAGCTCCCAATCAGTCGACTCTTATGGGGCAGGCAGTGGGTCTATTCTTGTTTTCCCCATAGTTGGGTCCTGATACCCATACGGTGAAGTAAAGACATTATACTGTGAACACACAGTAGAGGAAAACCTCACCATGTCAACTCAGGATACAAAAGAGACCTAGCCTTATCAAACTAGATCTGGCTGCATGGGTACCACATGGTCTCCACAGTACTGCTTAGGCTCTGTACCATGGAAAAGAGGAACTTTATCCATGGCTAGTGGTATTACCACATTAACAAAATGCTGCTGCCTGGGAAGGTGTAAAGGTATCAACAACGATATCAAATTGAGACACAAAACTGAGCTCACTGCGCTAAACCAGGACTGGTTGAAAAACTAAGACAGATTCAGCATCAAAACATTTACAAGTATATTATCAACTTATGACAGAGCCTGACATCAAGTCAGAACACAGTGGATGTTCACGTACTGAAAACAACAAAACATTTGTTTGAAGCTGTCACACCCCCTCCTCGACTTACCCTATTTGTGACTAACAACCATCCTTTTATGACCACACACACACACAAAAGATAGTAAATAAAGAGAGAACTACATTAACAGAGATTAGAAGTTCCAGGAATTGAGTCAAAAAAGAACATATTACATATTGTTCAAATTATGTATAATAATTATACCTTGATACATTTAAATTGTGTCATATGTACAATTTTTATAACTTGTCAGAAGGAAAAAATTGTTGAAAAATGTAAATCTGACTTATGACTTTTAGTCAGTGTAGAACTGGATCATAAATCAAGGAGACCCTGTAGAAGGAAATGAAACAAGAAAACATCACAAAACTTACTTGACTCCGGGTAATCTGCCTTGCTGCGTGATCTCATCAGACATCTCCTCTCCCTCCCCAAACCGCTCGGCCGTGGTCACATTGCCAAACTTCTGCCTGTAGTACTGTTCAATCTCATCTTCTCGCTGGCTCCTGAAATGCAGTCATATGCAATCAGATGAAATATATCACTACATTTAAACTAAAGTCTGACTAATATAAAAACACAACACAATCCTCAATGTTTATCTGGGTGCTGCTTCTTATTCACGTTCACCATTTGTAAACTCTGGTGGAAAGTTCTGCCTGCTCATCCGTGATAAATTTTGCCATGTACACTGAAGGTCGTGGCTCATTTCAAGGAGGTGCAGTTCAGTAATAAGCATAATGGTTATGGAGATCCCTGGCGATTGTCAGTGGAACTATGGCATTTTGCTTTTGTGTGATGCTCTTACAAGGTGGCTAGCCGTTGTGTTGAGAAAGACCCAGCCATATGGGGTAAAACTCACTGGAACATAGCTGATCCTCTCAACTTTCACTCAGAATTTTAGTGATCAGAAACAAACAAACCTCCTCTAAGTAGGACTGCAACAAGACCACTGTATAGGCAAGCAGTATTCAAGTACCCTGCCACTAACTACAATATGAATTCTTCAGTCTTTCATCTCACAATGGGGCATAGCCTCTAAACCAACTCACATCAGACCCTTTGTAGAATGGTAATAGTTCTAAGTGTTCACTGGCAGTAAATGCCAGCAGAAAGTTATGGTTGGTCGTCCACTTCTGGACTTCGGTCTTGTTCTAGAACCCGAGTTTTGGGTGCGCATTCATTTTACAGATCTGGCTTACTTTTAAGCAGACTGTTGGTTCCTCACCTATCAGGCAAATTCATTTCAGCTTCAAAGTTAACAGCCGTAACTGGTCAACTCTTACAACATGCTTGTTAGGTCCGGAGGAGGTCTATTCTTTTTTTTCTTCCAAAATGGGGTCCTGAACCCATACAGAGGGATGGTTCGTGAATGGCAAGATGTTGCAGCTGAAGTTGTCTGTAGGATAAGGTAGTCAGTCTGACATTCATTTTATGCAGTCACTAATACATGTTGCAGAAACGCTCTTAAAACACCACGGACCAAAAAGAAAACAGTGACATTCTACATGATCTGAACACAGAGGAAAACTGGCTAGTAAACAGCACCCTGTTCCAAGAGCTGAGGTATTTTAGCCAAGTTAAACCTCATGGTGGCCAAGAGACAAAGGAGATGTAGGGTGCAGTTTGTCCCAAATACAACTTGCAGTGGTTAGTTACAAGGGTGACAATATTTTCTTCTTCGTGTTCACTGGATGTAAACTCCGGCAGAAGTTCTGAGTGTTCGGCCACTTCTGGACTCGAGTCTTGTTCTAGAAACTGACTGCTGCGTGCATATCCGTTTCCCAGATCTGGTTTATCTGTATGCAGATTCTTGGTTCCTTGCCACTCAGGCAAATGTACTCCAACTTTGAAGGATGCCGCCTCAATTAGTCGACTCCTATGACATACTTGTTGGGGTGGCAGTGGGTTTATTCATGTTTTTTGCTATAAGAGAGTTCAAGAACCCCCACAGGGAGGGGTGACAATATGAATTACCAACATTAAGAAACAAGTTTCAGACAAAAGTTTCAGAGAAAAAAAAAAAAACTTACTCCCAAATATGTCTCAGTCTTTGATGGCTCTCAATCTCGCGCTCTGAGGTATCATAGGTCGACTTTCGATCAATGATCTCTTCTGCACCATCTTCCCATTCCCCGTCATCCTCATCATCTTCGTCATCCACATCTGATGAAATATGGCAAATACAGCAAATGAAATTCAAGGGAAATATAAGCTGTGCTCACAACTGTGGCCTCGTGTTACTAACCAACAAAAAAACTGATAAGGGAATTGGGGGTTTCTGGAAATCCAATGGGATCATTATTTTTTTTTTTTTTTTTTTTTTTAGTTTCCAGGGTGAGAGGTTAAACATCAAAACATCAAATCCAGTATATTTGATCACAATAAATGGAAAGGCCAGATCACACAGTCAACAGTGACTCTGTGATCTAACAATAAACAGTGCACTCTGTGATCTAACAATAAACAGTGCACTGTGATATAACAATATACAGGGCACTCTGTGATATAACAATAAACAGTGCACTCTGTGATCTAACAAAAAACTGCGACTCTGTGATATAACAATAAACAGTGCACTCTGTGATCTAACAATAAACAGTGCACGCTGTGATCTAACAATAAACAGTGCACGCTGTGATCTAACAAAAAACTGCGACTCTGTGATATAACAATAAACAGTGCACTCTGTGATCTAACAATAAACAGTGCACGCTGTGATCTAACAATAAACTGCGACTCTGTGATCTAACAACAGTGACTGTGAATTAACAGTCAACAGTGACTCTGTGATCTAACAGTCAACAGTGACTCTGTGATCTAACAGTCAACAGTGACTCTGTGATCTAACAATTAGTAGTGAATGTGATCTAACAGTCAACAGTGTTTCTGTGATTTAACAGTCAACAGTGACTCTGTGATCTAACAGTCAACAGTGACTCTGTGATCTAACAGTCAACAGTGACTCTGTGATCTAACAGTCAACAGTGACTCTGTGATCTAACAATTAGTAATGAATGTGATCTAACAGTCAACAGTGACTCTGTGATCTAACAATTAACAGTGACTGCGATCTAACAGTCAACAGTGACTCTGTGATCTAACAGTCAACAGTGACTCTGTGATCTAACAGTCAACAGTGACTCTGTGATCTAACAATTAACAGTGACTCTGTGATCTAACAGTCAACAGTGACTCTGTGATCTAACAATTAACAGTGACTGCGATCTAACAGTCAACAGTGACTCTGTGATCTAACAATAAACAGTGACTGTGAACAATAAACTGTGCCGATGGACTATGGCAGGATAAACAGCACCATCATTATTATCAACAGGTGCTGTGCGAAGGTTGTCATGTTTCTAATCCGGAACATCTCATATTTTGATCCCCAGGCAGGTGCACTCCAATCTGAAGGGATCAGTTCAATGTTTTTGTCCTCCCCCCCCCCCCTACCCCCCAACATCTGGGAACCCACAGTCTATATCCAGGTTTAATGTGTAAAGTTATGTCACAAAATGTCTACAGTATCTAAACAGACCTGAAAATAAAAGTAGAACATATAATATAAAAGGGACCTACTTCTGCTGCAAGTAGATGTGTTTTCCGCTTGTTTGCTTGTTGTCCAGGTAAGAGCACCATATACCCGACACGACAGGAAAAAAAGGATCCTTTATCTACTTTTACTCACAGCAGCACAGTCTACCGCAGGGTTATTCAACTGACTGCCCACAGGCAGAATCTGGCCTGCAGATGTCCAGCGGTGGCCCTGGGATCATTGCTAACTGTGTTGTATGAGTGATCTTTTTATGCTGGGGCTCCGGCCTCTGGACCATAATGATCCCTATTTTCAACATTTTGGCTGGCACCTTTTCAGATGATAGTGTTTTACTGAGCTATGAGGGGGCATGGGTCTCACAGCCGATGGCGAGTGTGACTAGCAAGAGTGGCCCACCTTAAGAAAAGTCTTCCACAATTGCAGCATGGAATTTCCAGACCACTGTTGTCAACATTTGTGTTTACTCTGTCTCTTCTCACTCAGCTCTCATCCTTTCTGCAATCATTTCTTCCTTCACTCTCAATCCCTTCCTGATGTGCCCCCCTCCACACAACACAGTCCTTGGTATTTTGTTCACAGGAGTCCACCTCAATACCTGTATCATTCACATCCCACTTGCATACATCTTTATATCACAGTAGAGGTCGGCCTCAACATCTTCTACCCATCATTAATTCGCCATAGTGGATGTCTTTAGGAATTCTGCCATCCTCCATTCTCCAGGTGTGACTCAGCCACCTGACCCTTGGTAGACTTAGCACTGAGAACATTTTAGCCCCTGAGCAAATAAACTTAGCTGAACAGTTCTGGTCTAGTGCGTCAACAGAAACATTATAAATACTTTTAACACTTTCAGGCCCCTAAAACCATTGCAGTTTACTCAAAAACAATAATCACACAATTAAAAAAGTCAAGCTCATAAAATTTTCAAACAGGCGACTTATAGTGTGAAGAATGTTTAAAAGAACATACATATAGCTAAATTTCTTGGCCTTCATAACAAATATAAGACGTAATGTGTATCCTATGCTGGTGTTGGATAGGACACATGTTAACTGACCACAATATAACTAGAATGTTTCTGCACTGGAACCCACAGGGGCTCAGAAATAAAGGAAGACTGAAAAACACATGGAGAAGGGAGCTAGAGAATGAAATTAAAAAGATGAGGAGGACATGGGGAGAGCTGCATGCAATGGCGAAGGATAGAAAAAAATTGGCATGAGTTGGCTGGGGGCCTATGCTCCATTGGGGGTTTTAAAGCAGAAGAAGAATGTGGATCCTGGAACAGAAATAATTAACAAAACTGATTGCAGTCAACGTCTATAATTAGCTTACCAGCCTCATCAATGATGAAGCCAAGGGCGCCTTTCCGTTTTTTCTTGCGTGCTCTGGTTTCTTCCTCCTCATCTTCTTCTTCATCATACTCCTAAAAATTCAGCAGAGACATAAAGTTCAATAAATGTAGCTTGCCATCTCTTGTAAGAAACCTCAGAATCAATGTACAGAAGACTGCACTAAAGAAACTAACCAGTAAAACATGCAGAACAGCACATTTTAGGCAGATATAATTTCCAAAATACAGAATGTCAAACAATGACATCATAGATATGACAGACATAATATCATGTCTCAGCGGCAGAGAAATTAGCTCGAGATGTGCAAAAGTTAATCAAGTAAGGGGGCAACTATCTCTCCTGTTGACACACAAGCAGATACCCCGGAGTACTAAAGTGAATCTTATCAGAACTATTTTTTGGCAAACACAATGCTATCAATGCCAAACGTGGACACTTACATCCTCCAATGAACATAAAATTGTGACAACAGAGATTAAATGCCTTAGAAGAGCTGAAGGAGTTTTAAGGAAAGACAGAATACAAAATCACGAAATCAGACCAATGCTAGAAATAAAGCCAGTCTTACAGGTCATCAAAAAACAACAAATGCAGGGGTCTGAACACTTAACAAGAATGCCCTGGTACTATCTGCCACAGCAAGCCATACTAAAACGTTACAACGGTATAGAGCAAGTGGAAGACCTAGGAAAAGAGGGAGTGATGGCATTAGAACAGCCTTACAGAAATGAACATCAGTCTTAATAGTGCTCTTGACAGAGCTCATCAACGAAAGTTACATCTCCCCCCGGCACTTTGATATGGTACAAAGTGGAAGAGAAGAAGAAGAAAAACAAAGCAGCAGATCGACTATTATGGCATCACAAAGTGAAAGACAGATTGTCACAATTTGAAAGAAACCAAACACAGCGTGCTATAGAAAGGAGAGGCCAGAGAGAAAATCAGCCTCATAGCGTGGGAGTGTCTTCTTTTTTTTTTTTTTGTGCATCCAATGTCTTCTTCTTTTTCATGTTCACCAGGTGTAAATTCTGGTGGAAAGTTCTGGTTGTTCTCCACTTCTGGACTGCAATCCTCTTTCAAAACCTGAGTGTTGCGTGTGCATCCGTTTGACAGATCTAAACTCATTGGTGTGCAGACTGTTGGTTCCTTGCCTCTCAGGTGGATGCACTCCGACTTTAAAGGAAGCTCCCAATTAGTCGACTCTTACAACATGCTTTTGAGTAGGCAGTGGGTCTGTTCTTGTTTTCCCTATAATAGGGCCACGGAACCCACACGGGGAGCACCCAATGTGAGACTGCCACTTCCGCATCGGACTTGACAGTCACAGCAGATGCTGTTCCTAAAGTCAGCGGCACATCTCCACAGTCCCTTGGGACTGATGGAAGCTGATACCTATTGCTAATATCATGTATTAAATTTAAAGAGGCCAATAATCAAGTGTTTGGACACGCCATGAGAACCTTCTGCTCTTTGTCTTCTTAGTGTTAACCAGCTGTAAACTTTTGCAGAAAGTTCTGGTTGTTTGTCCACTTCTAGACTTTGGCAATGTTCCAGAACTTGAGTTTTGTGTGCACATCAGTTTTACAGACCCCTGTGTGGGTTCCGGGGCCCCATTGTGGGGAAAACAAGAATAGACCCACTGCCTCCCCAAAAGCATGTTGTAAGAGTCAACTAATTGGGGAGCTTCCTTTGAAGACGGAGTGCGTCTGCCGGAGAGGCAAGGAACCAACAGTCTGTATTCAAGAGAATGAGATCTGTAAAACTGATGCACACGCAACACTCAGGTTCTGGAGCAGGACTGCAGTTCAGTAGTAGACGAGCAAACCAGAACCTTCCGCCAGAGTTTACAGCTGGTGAACGCGAAGAAGAAGAAGAAGAAGTTTTACAGATTTGTGTGTGTGGGGAGGGGGGGCGGACAACTCATTGCCACACAACAAGCAAAAGATTAATTAGGGATTTCCTGAAATCAGATGTACTGGGTCAAAAGGTGCCAATAGTGTCGCAGCTTAGCTGTAATCTAAAACACAATGTGCCAGCTGCCCTTTTCAGGATAAGTGCAGAAGAAAAAGAACCACAATAAAAGTCTGAACACATTATGGGATGGCTGGCATTCATTGGAAAGCTAATTCCTCATCACAAAATGCCTGAGACACTTTTTCTTTTAAGTGTTCATTGGTTGTATAATCCAACGGAAAGTTCTCACTGTTAATCCATCTCATGACACTGGTCTTGTGCCAGAACCCAAGTTTCACATGCATATTCATTTTACAGATCAGGCTAATATCTATACAGAATGTTGATTCATCATCTTTCAGGCAGATGTACTTAAACGGAATGGTCGCTGGGTACAACATGCTTTTTATGGAGCAGTGGGTGCAACCTTTTTCCCCCTAAACCCACAAAGAGGGCTTGGGACATTTAATTTCAGAACACTTACGTCTTCATCGTCAAGATCCTCTCCTTCGGGCTCCTCTTCATCCCCATCCTTTTCTTCCTCATTCCCCTCACTTTCCTCTGCTTCATCATCTACCACGGCCTTGCTTGGCTCAGCATCACTGTCGGCATTCTTGTCACTGTCCTCCTTGTCACTGTCATCATTATGGTCACTGTCATCGTGATCGCTGCCGTCATTTGACACTGCCTTGTCACCACCGTCACTTTCATTGCCTGAAAAGTTGCTGTCCTCGCTGTCAGACATGATTGGGGGTCAAAGGCAGCAACCTACAGGTGATAAGATGGACAAAAATAAACATTTTATAACTGTATTAAACAAGATAAATGGAAAAAAAACGCACCCTTTTTCACGCCTTTAGGCGTATAGGGAATATAGGGCTAGACCTATATTTTATAGACAAATTGGCACAAGACGGGTGATGTGGTCAGCATCACGCCGGCCACCTTCACTTCCCGAGACTGCACCTGGTACCTGGGAGCCAAGGTCATTTTCTGAAAAAATTTGTTTCCACTAGGGAGCGAACCCACGACTTTCCGATCCGCGGCGAGCGTCTAGCCGATCCACCACAGCGACTCCCCCTAAATAAATTCGGCCCCTGTCAGGACACGAACCCACTACCTTCCGATCAAAAGGCGAGTGTCTAGCCGCTAGACACGGCGGCTCCCATATTTGTCTTCTTCAGTTTTTTTTTTTTTAATGTATAGACTTGACTAGATTCTCAAACGTTATATAAATATCTATCTAATAATAAATACCACTTCTTCGCTTGTCCGAGTGATAAAACTGTGTGGTGCCAGCATGGCTGCGACATTTGCACCATTAGATCTTCACATCCGACTCCATCGAGCATTTTTTAACCAGGTTAGCCTTCTCGTACGGTTTCGTGGGACATGACATAACCTGATTTGTGGGGTGTCCTCTTTGCCAATTTATCTACAGATGTTGCCACCTTAGTGAAGGCAGGAGCAGATCAAGGGCATTCTCTGCCATCTAAACGAGGCTTTCATAAATAATAAATACTAATGGTGAGCTTTGGGTCAGAAATAAACTCCAGTGAATCAAGAGGTGAAGAAAAGATGCTGCCTCTGGATAGGATGCTCAAATAACCCACATCGTGAATCAAGTTAACAGATGAAAGTCATAAGTAACTCTTTCCCTCCCTGTGTGAGTTCTGGGGCCCTATTGTGGGGAAAACAAGAATAGACCCACTGCCTACCCTGAAGCATGTTGTAAGAGTCGACTAATTAGGAGCTTCCTTCAAAGTTGGAGTGCATCTGCCTGAGAGGCAAGGAACCAGCAGTCTGCATACAAATAAGTCAGATCTGTAAAATGGATGAACATGCAACACTCAGGTTCTGGAACAGGACCAAAGTCCAGAAGTGGATGAACAATCAGAACTTTCCGCCAGAGTTTACAGCTGGTGAACGCGAAGAAGAAGACAGGGATGTGTTCTCTCCCCATTGCTATTCATTACTTGCATGGATAGAATTACACAGAAGGCAAATACAGACACTGAAAATATCAATGAACTTCTGTTTGCACACAATCAATGTCTAATACACAATTAAGAATACAACTTACAACACTATACTGACTCCTTACATCAAACCTGCACAAAAGTATGATATGAGAATAAACACCATGAAAACTGAGGTAATGAGGAAAAGCAGGAAACATAATATCATGAAAGTTCATGTCAACAGTACTACAATCAAACAAGTACGAGAATTCAAATATCTATAATGAGAATTCAAATATCTATAATAAACAGCAAATGATTAATACATAGCATCTTTATTTCTACGTTATGACATCAGCGCCAAATGTGGACAATGAATACGGCACTAGAAAAGAAAATAACTACATGTGAAATGTGCTTGCTCTGCAAGGTCACTAACAATACAAGACGAGACAGGGTTACGAATACCAGCATTCAAGAGAATGGTGGAATAAGACCATGTCTGGATTATGCTGACAGACAAGGAATAAAATTGTTCAGCCATCTAGTGAGAACAGCAGAATGCAGCCATGCCAAACTGCATACGAGGACCCCCCTCACGATAGAGGTAAACGAAGATATTTAGATAGGGAGTGGTGTCGTGACTGATTTGACTCATAGTAGTACTAAAAATGAGGACCATATCGAATATTCGCTTCGGGGTCAAATAGTGGACCTAATAACTATTCAGTATTCGGTCGAATACTTGTGGTCGGGCCGAATACAAATAGTGGTTACCTTACACCCGTTTCTGCATTCACTGGGATAGTTGCTGTTGCCTAAGTCACTTTCATGCATTAACTAAGCTGTCAGTGACAATATACAAGTTTAGTTACTTGCTATAAAACTAAGAATACTTTCATTCCTAGGTATTAGTTAACACAGACTGACTGACTGAAGGATGCAAAACATAAATGTTTTTAAATGTTTACTATTCTGTATTACATTTTGTGAAGTAAAATTTCAGCGTACATTTGACATTATGAATGGTTTTTTTTTTTTAGATCTATTTTATACACTATTCGAAAGTGGAAGAATGGACCTCAGTTTGAATAGTGGGAAGACAGAAGTAATGGTGGTATCAAAGAAAAGATTTATCCCTGAATGTGTAATATAAGTCAATGGTGTTATTTTGGGACAAGTACAGAAATTTAAGTATCTGGGCACATTGATAAAATCGATGGAAGATGCATTACTGAAATAAGAAACAGAATAGGACAGGCAAAAACTGCATTTTATAAAATGAAGAACATCTTATACAATATATCTCTGTCAGTGAAGGTTAGAAAAATAATTCTTGCTTGCTACATACATCCAGTTTTAACATGGCTGTGAGTCCTGGACAATCGGTAGGCAGGCCAAACAATTTCTTAAGGCCTCAAAGATGTGGTTTTACAGAAATATGCTCAAAATATCTTAGACAGCAAAAAAAAAAAAAAAACAGCAACCAAGAGGTTTTGAAAGAGGCAGGAGCTCAAAGACAACCAATCCCAGACATCAGAAGGAGACATCATTTTTTGGCCATGTTAAGAGAAGAGTGAAAAGGGAACATGTGGTGACCATTGGACAGATCTGTGGAAGGAGGGATAGAGAAAAAAAACGAGAGAAGATTCTTGACAGTCTTGTTGCATGGCATGGAGGTGTGTCAGCACACGAACTAATACATATTGCAGGAGATCGCAGATTGTGGCGAAGCATAATCGCCCACGCCAGTTGGCAAGTCACCTGATGATGATGATGCACTATTCGTACTCGTATTTGGCCGAATAGTGAAAAATCACTATTCGGTACAGCTAAAAATCAAATAATATTCTTAAAAAAAGGTTGCTTATACCAAGCAAAAGTTTTGGCTCTACTTCGAACGGCATCATAAAATGGCAGCCATAATATGATGCCACATTCTGACCATAAAATATCCAAAAATATCCTAACGGTGTTCAGGCATATCTAAAATACAGACTTTCTGCCAAGGGACAAATCGCGGCAAAACTAGGATTACTTGACAATCAATATCAACATTGCACACGGTAGTAGCAGACAAATACCGACCGTTGACAATTTCGAGCGTTTCTGCAGACGATACTAGAAGACGATATTAGCGACCGTTGACAATTTCGAGACATTACAGACGATGAAAGCGATTAGCAATACTGTGTTCTTCCGATTGAGGATTTAGCAGCGGTAGATGTCAGACTTGTCGGCATGCGCAAAACGCGATTAAACTCATCGCCAAGCGTATCCCCCGTGCCGCTACGCACGGCGCAGTTGGGGGGCTAAACTAGGTGCCTGGGACTCACAAGTAAAGTAATTGGAGGAAGTTGTAGGAGATGCGGTAGCTGCTGCTCGTGAGTCCCAGCCATCTAGTTTAGTCCCCATTCGCGCCGTGCGCAGCGGCGCGGGGGATACCACCGGCGTTGAGGCACACTGACAGAAGCAGGTCCGCAAGTAACATATCGCCGAGACCCTGTTAGAGCATTTGTTTCGTTATACGGAGCCGGCATATTTTTAATAGAACTGAGCCCCATTCGGATATTTTTGGATATTTTATGGCCAGAATGTGGCCAATTTGGCTCTCTTTCGAACGGCATCATATTATGGCCGCCATTTTATGATGCCGTTCGTAGTAGAGCCAAAGATTTTTACGTCTAAATATAAAGTATACAGAGTTGAGCATTACCAAAGTAAGCGTATATATACTGTATACTGAGGTACTACTGTAATTCCCTGGAAGAAGTATGTAATAGGTATAGTGGCAGTAGTGCAAAGATCATAAAGTATGCCTCTTGCATTTTTTTTTCAGTGGAGTTAATTAGTATTAATGTAATATTTACAATTTTAAAAACATGAATAAGATAAGCGTTATTTGACTGTGACTGTCGTGTATAAATTCTTTATGGAACATCCTTCTCAAGACTGAGTCGATTATTACCAGCCTTGTTTAATTAATCTGTAGCACTGAGCCCGGCTCTCCAGTGTAGTTGGCTAAACCGGATTATTACGCGGTGACCTGGTGTGACGAACTCCTTGTGGTCCGGGTTCACTCCCGGGGGTAGGCAGAAAAGCCACATTTTCTCCCAGATTTACGGTATTTACAATGGAATAAAAGGCCTAAAGGTTGCGATATCCATAATACCGAGCCTAAGGGTTAACAACTCATAGCTTCTGGATACTAAAACAAACAAACAATCTGTAGCACTGTGGTAGGCAGGTAGCCATGTTTGCTTGAAATCACATCACTTCGACATTCAATAATACCACAACAAACCGCCGTTTTTAGTCAAATTATCGATAAACATGATTAATAAATAATAATAAATTACATATTAAAATTCCTGAAAACATACAGTGTATAAAACAGACGTAAAAACACACCTTAATGTGACACAACTCTAAAAAAAAAAAAGGGATTATAAGAGAACAAATTTAGCAATTTTTGTTCCTCTTAAAAATGGCTAGCAGTTTAAAAGTTGAAAGGAAAAATTGTTGTGAAACAAAATATTATGCTGGCAACTTTCTTGATTAAAAATAATTGAGTTGATTGTTATATAAGTAAAGGACCCTTTTCCACGCCTTTTAGGCATATTTGGTATATAGGTCTAGAACTATATTTTATAAACTAAACGGCATTTGGTGGATGATGTGGTCAGCATCACGCCAGCCGCCTTTACTTCCTAGGACTGTACCTATACCCACTCAAGGCTGGGTCGACCTGGGAGCCAATGTCATTTTTGAAAAAAGTCCGGCC